ATTACTTCGTTTGAAGTAACGTTAATTTCGTTTGTAGTACCATTACTTCGTTTGTAGTACCATTATTTCGTTTGTAGTAACGTAAATTTCGTTTGTAGTACCATTGTTACGTTTGTAGTACCATTGTTTCGTTTGTAGTACCATTATTTCGTTTGTAGTACCATCATTTCGATTGTAGCTGTTTGTAGTAACGTTAATTTCGTTTGAAGTACCATTATTTCGTTTGTAGTTGTTTGCAGTAACGTTAATTTTGTTTGTAGTACCATTGTTTCGTTTGTAGTAACAAAATAATGGTACTACAAACGAAATAATGGTATTACAAACGAAATTAAGGTTACTACAAACAACTACAAACAAAATAATGGTACTACAAACGAAATTTACGTTACTACAAACAGCTACAATCGAAATAATGGTACTACAAACGAAATAATGGTACTACAAACGAAATAATGGTACTACAAACGAATTAATGGTACTACAAACGAAACAATGGTACTACAAACGAAATTAACGTTACTACAAACAACTACAAACGAAATAATGGTACTACAAACGAAATTAACATTACTACAAACAGCTACAAACGAAATAATGGTATTACAAACGAAATTAAGGTTACTACAAACAACTACAAACAAAATAATGGTACTACAAACGAAATTTACGTTACTACAAACAGCTACAATCGAAATAATGGTACTACAAACGAAATAATGGTACTACAAACGAATTAATGGTACTACAAACGAAACAATGGTACTACAAACGAAATTAACGTTACTACAAACAACTACAAACGAAATAATGGTACTACAAACGAAATTAACATTACTACAAACAGCTACAATCGAAATAATGGTACTACAAACGAAATAATGGTACTACAAACGAATTAATGGTACTACAAACGAAACAATGGTACTACAAACGAAATTAACGTTACTACAAACAACAACAAACGAAATAATGGTACTAAAACGAAATTAACATTACTACAAACAGCTACAAACGAAATAATGGTTCTACAAATGAAAGAATGGTACTACAAACAAAATTAACGTTACTACAAACAACTACAAACGAAGTAATGGTACTACAAACGAAATTAACGTTACTACAAACAACTACAAATTAAATAATGGTACTACAAACGAATTAATGGTACTACAAACGAAACAATGGTACTACAAATTAAATTAACGTTACTACAAACAACTAAAAACGAATTAATGGTACTACAAACGATATTAACATTACTACAAACAGCTACAAACGAAGTAATGGTACAACAAATGAAAGAATGGTACTACAAACGAAATATTGGGTCTACAAACGAAATTAACGTTACTACAAACAACTACAAACGAAATAATGGTACTACAAACGAAATTAACGTTACCACAAACAACTACAAACGAAATAATGGTACTACAAACGAATTAATGGTACTACAAACGAAACAATGGTACTACAAACGAAATTAACGTTACTACAAACCATTACAAACAAAATAATGGTACTAGAAACTAAAGAATGGTACTACAAACAACTACAAACGAAATAATGGTACTACAAACGAAATTTACGTTACTACAAACAGCTACAATTGAAATAATGGTACTACAAACGAATTAATGGTACTACAAACGAAACAATGGTACTACAAACGAAATTAACGTTACTACAAACAGCTACAAACAAAATAATGGTACTACAAACGAAATTAACGTTACTACAAACAACTACAAACGAAATAATGGTACTACAAACGAAATCAAGGTTACTACAAACAACTTCAAACGAAATAATGGTACTACAAACGAAATTAACGTTACTACAAACGAAACAATGGTACTACAAACAAAATTAACGTTACTACAAATAACTACAAACGAAATAATGGTACTACAAACGAAGTAATGGTACTACAAACGAAATTAACGTTACTTCAAACGAAGTAATGGTACTACAAACCAAAATTAACGTTACTACAAATGAAATAATGGTACTACAAACGAAACAAGGAATGTATGTAGTAAAAATCGTTCTGGAAAAATACTCGAAAAAAATTTTTTTTTTTGTTTTACTACAAACGAAAAAAATTGCACTACAAACCACTACTAACGTTTTTCTATACGAATCAAGCGAAAAAAAATTTTTTTACCAACTTCGGGGGATGACATTTTTTTTGTTGTCTGTATTTTTTTTTTGATACTACTACAAACGAAGTTAGCTTCACTACTATCTACTACTAACCGAAATCGTTCAAATAAACCTAAAAAAGAACAATTTTTCCAAAGTCGGGTGCCAAGTTCACATAGCCTTGGATAATAATTCCTTTGTATTTAATTTCTAGAGTGCCTTCATAAGTTATCACTACAGAACAGTTGATTCATAATGTGAAATAAAAAAAGGAAGAATATTTAAATATAAAAGATGGCCATATACTATCAACATACACTATTAGTAGCTGTCGGAGGATGCATCGCACTCTGTAAAAGAATACCGACAAGTCATAAATCTACGTGAAATTATCATAACGAGTCGGTCCTATAACAAAATAGTGGCTTTCCGAGAAATTATTAACGTCCGCTATAAAACGACGACGGCTATAACTTTCCGTAGTTTTGTGACGATATTAATTGGGTGACGTTAGAAAAAATGGCTGGTTAAAATTAAAATCTGGCGAAATAAAACTTCATTAATGTCGTTAAGCTGATTGCCACACAAAGTAACTTAATACTGATGGTTATAAAGTTTCATTTTCTAACTGGCATAAATTAATAATTAAATGCATATATTGCTGTCCGTACTTCCAGCGTAAACTATAACTTTAATTTAATGTTAATAAAATTTTAATAATATATTTTGCGTGTATTTTTTTACTGAAAATTAAAGTGTCAGCTCTGAACAAACTGATGGTTTCAATTTTTTTTTTTGGTAAAATTATATATTACCTTATTATGTAATTAATAAGTATAAAAATGAAAATAATTTTGATTATAACAAGCCCACAAATATTTTAAAGGGGTAGGATGTTAATTAAACGGGTTTAGGTTCGTCGACGTGTTATGATCTCAGAAAATGTCCGTTTTAGTTTACTTTTTTATGGGCAATAAGTGGATGGATGGAAGCCAAACAGCAGATGTTGTTACGGCAAAAAAGATACCTATATTAATCAGAGCTATGTCGTTAAGTTCAAAAATGCAAACAGTATTTAAAAGAAAGTATTTAATTTCCGCATTTCCCTTAAATATTCTACAAGTCAAGAAACGTTTAATCAAGTTCTCGCAACAACACTAAGTATATCGTGCTGAGGATAACAAAAAACACAAATTGCAAACCATCGATGGAACCGACTGAAGGGCACCAATAAGTTCCATGTAATTGAACGAATATTTATGTAGAAATGTAACACGGCAAGTTTTTGTCTGACGATCGCAACATTAAGTTCATAAAATTAGCCCGCTCCAACAAAATCTTTAGAAGTTTCAACATAGGTGTCAAATTTAATACAAAGTTATATTTTGTAAGGAGAAGCTTCGTGTTCTCATTCCGTGATAAATAAAAATATGCGACTGTGGTATTTCTAACTAATTTTAAATGTAATGAATAATATTTCATTTATTTAACTATCTGACCTATGATCATAATGATATGTTGCCTCGAAAATTTCTAATTGCGATTCTCATCACGCAGTACAACGATATTTTAATAAGTACACATTTTGTGTATATCCCTCTTAAATCATTAATCTTGTTATTAATTACCACCGAGTCCATTTGTCAAGTAAAAGGTGCTGCCACGTTGAGCGTAACTGGTATATTTAGAATAGAATATAGCCAAATTCAGAAACCATCGTTATACCAATATATCAGTCTTCAGATGCCCCAAATAATTTCGAGAAAGCAATTGCATTCCACGTTTTGTATTGTCCGCTTTCAACTAGTGTAGTTAGTTGCCTGTGAAGTGATTTATTGAGCCTCGTTTATTTTAGTTCCCAATTCGTTGTTCTTTATGGCCCGGCCTTCTTGCAGCACGTTTTTCAGAAACGGTATTTCAAAGAACTCATATGATTTATTTTAATAGTTAAAAAACCTGTTTTGTAAATTTAAAGCTAAGGATTTTGTAGCATACTGGAGAGATGTTTAAATTATTTAGGAACCATTGCTTAGTGCTTACAGTTCATATGATTAACAGTTTAAAGTTAGCAGATCAAAGACAAGAGCCGGCGAACGTTAAATTTCCATAGTTAAAAATAATAGTCGACTCGGAGTAAGTAGACAATAACGCCATTCGCTTTAAACCTTTACGGAGCGTAACTTATTGCTGAGAAAACAAAAGGCAAGCTCCAGTAGCATTTTAAGGAATTTGAGCTTTACTATTATAATTTAAATACATATCGTTTAGTTAACTCTCTAAAACAATAGGTGGAACATAAATTATAAACGGTTGAGTAAAGTTCGATTTATTTCGATATACCTATAGAAGACTCATAAAAAGTAAATCTACTAAAATATTCGAGGCGAACTTTTTCGGTATAATATGTATTTCATGAACAAATTGTGGCCAATTCGTTCATGATGTATTTATTTCACAAATATACAACACAGGTTTTTTCTTTGGCACAAGACTTATGAAAGCCATTATTATTTAAAGCTGAAGTGACAAAACATAATTGATTGGTGACAAAAGTTAAACCAAGGGACGGGATTTCAATGGAGCAGGTATTGGAGATCGGACGGTGTAAAAAGACTATTGTACTCGTTACCGGCTCTCTCTGGTTATTTCTATTGTTCATTTCGCAATTTTTTTGCTATCCTTTTGTTTTATTTTTACAATTTTTACTTGGCAAATTATAAAGAAAATATTATTCGCACAGGTACGTAAATTCAAAATTTGTTCCTGAAAAACTTTAGTTAGTACGGTATGATTTATAATAAGGTAATATTTTTTTTATTTAACGATAGATTGAATTGATTAATATTCACACTTACCAAACAGAAGCGGCGAGTCCGAAGTAATACAATAATAGGAAGACAACGGCACAGTTAGGATTTTCTAAGCCATCATGAGCGAGGAGCATCCGTGTAGGTGATGTGGAATCCTTTGCGCATCCTGCGGCAGTGCGGCCCGCTGCGGCCCGCACGCCCCAGCCGGCGGCCGCGGCGCACCTGCACAGAGCTACCAGCACCAGGGCTCGCTCCCCAGCACCCCCACGGTCCCCACACGCCAACTGCGCCCCCACAGCCGCAAGCGTACAGGCAAAACTCAATGCTGCCCATGTTGCCAGCCACACTTCAGCCGCCCTACGCTCACCCGACTCCCAAAGTACTTCAGCATCACAGAATTGAGCGCACCGACTCGAACCTCGCACCCAAATCCAGCTATTTGGCTTTACGAGTCTTCTACAAGCTCCTCTGCCGACTGCATTCGATGCATCCAGTGGAATAGTGCCCATTGGTGGCGCCCGCTCCCCTGGGCCCTCCATACACATGTGCTCATGATTATTTTCAGCGGGAAACAAAGAGCAATCGAGCTCAGCCGGCCAGGGAAACCCGAAGCCTCGAAGCACCGGGTAACATCTCGAGTAAACACTTTCACACAGCCCTCTACAAGGTCCGATCGGTAGCGCCACTTTGTCAGTACACATGGGAACGTAAACCGCGCACAGAAATAGATGTAGCTGAGAGGAGCACCCGTACTGCACGAGAGGACTAAATGTTTGAAGAGTAACATCAGCGTCCGCTTGCAGGGTGTGTCGAGCCAAGTTCGGCATGCCCGTTTGGTTGTATCCAATGTTCTTACACATAGCCACTTTAATAGGTTCACATGTCCTCACAGAAGCCTCGGCGGCGATTTCGAAAACGAGTGTCACAGCTAAAACTATCGCGATTAAGCACTTCATTTTGAATTTTGTCACAAGTTAAAGTAAATATAACATTATCGTGAATGTTTTCGCGCGTGTCTATCGCAACGGAACGTACGTGTCTCACGAAACGCGTCTACAGACGTAGTGTTGCGGCCGCGGTCAGTGAAGGCGCCGGGGCGGGGAGGGTTTCACTACAAACAAAAAGGTCGGCAGGTATGCGATAGTATCAGAAGGAAAGGGAGGGAAATGGGTGAAGAGTCGCGGTCGGTGTCCGGAGCGGCGTGAGTCTCGTTAAATGAAACGGCTGTCCTCGCATCCTCGAGGCTCGCTCGTTACTTGTTATCGTATCGTAAAGCTGCACACATACTGTACTCTGTACGATTAACATTCAAAGCGTAATTATAATTAAATAAAACCATGTGATACTTTGGAAAAGAGCACCTTGAATTATTTTTAACAGCGATTTTTATATACCAAAAAAAAAACTTATGAGTACTTTTAAATAAAAATGGTTCATGTGGATACACCGTATCACTCAATAGTTCATATCTTTTGATTTATCAAAATATCGATTTTTAGATAATAATGATAATAAGCAGATTACACATCGTGGATCGACTAATATTTTACCACACCATTGATATACTTCAATTACTTTTATATATTTTTTTATAATAAAACACAAAATATTTTAAAATTATTTTATTGTACATAGTTACTACAATAATATGCATACTTTTAACATAAATAGGTAAATATAATGGTGAACTTTATTAGTTTTACAAAAATTGGACCGAAATACAGATTTGTGAGGTCATAAAGCTTATAATAGATACCGAAAATACGCAATGGGATAAAAATAATATTTACATGGCGTTAATTATTTTTCGAACAAAGAATTATAATCTTAAAATACGACTAAAATAAAAGATAAATACTTTTACAGTAACCTTATATTATACAAGTTGTTTCACACTTTGTTGACTAAACTAATAATGTATTTTTTTTTTCATGTTACAACATTTGTTATTAGCCAGTTGCCAATTCAAATCAAATAGATATATATATATATTTTTATCAGAACTTTTTAATGGCAATGGAACAGTCATTACCTATCTACATACAAATTCCAAATCCCATGTAAACCGCATCTCAAAATCTTAAGTCTTTCCATCTTTTACATTTACAGAAGCTAATTCTAACGATAATATACAACATTCACATATTTTAGTTAAGATTTTTTTTTATTTCATCATAATTTTTTATATATTTTTTACAATAAAGCGTAAAAATAAAATTAGGAATGCAATTTAAGCAATACTAGCGCCATTTTCTTTTTCAATATATAAAAAATAACTACTTACATTTAGATATATGCCAAAGCGATTTTTTTAAATAAATACATAAATGCCATAACTGTGTATGTGCTTTTATAGAAATAATGATTCTGATTAAATGTGCTATTATTTATTAGGAGTCTTGGTTGGGTAGTTTAGTGGTTTGAAAATATTATGATAATAAATAAGTGTACGTTTTTAAACAAACCAATGAAATCTGTGTGTCAGATAACATTAAATTTAATTATTACGAAAATTTTAGCAAAGCCATGTAGCTAAGAATATCTAGTCAGTAAAAATTTTGAGGTAGTTTTTTTTGAACCAATTCATAATAATATCCTTTAATATAAATATTTTAAATTTTAAGGTTTTTTTATACAATGAAAGTCCAGCCCTACTTCTGTACCGAGAAAAATACAATAAGAATCTTTTAATCACATCATTCAATTTTCAATATATAAAGAATTTGGGCAAAGAACAGGGAATGTCGGAATTTTCGTTTTTTTTTGTAGTGGTAACACATCTATATCTATGGTAATTACATTCCCATACACTGGTTTTTATAAATACTCAACAGATGTCGCTAAAATAAGTTTTTATCTATGCCCTAAGCGAAAAGAACTGGGAATATTCATGACATACCGGTAAAGAAGGATTGTCCAAAAATGTACATATTTAAAAGTTACTGCATACTTTGATCTCAATAAAAATATTACGTTTTCTAAACTCTAAATCACTTTTTTCTCTTATCTATTCATACGGACCTTCCATGTTCTTTGCCTGTACCCTTCATATGGAAATGAAATGAAAATAACAGAATAATTCACATTTTAAAATAATTCCATATTTTAACACACATTTAGTTTTGAAGAATATCTGAATATATTCTTATATAACATTTTAGGTTACAACTTTATTCACAAATTGAAATATAACAATGAAATCATTCTTGAGAATTCTTTAACACTTAATATAATATGAAATTGCTATGTAACTGTATTAATTAGGACCGGAGACGATTAAGCCAATTTCTTGTATATACGAGAAAACAAACTTAAATTATATAATATACATACGCACTATGTATATAAAATAAATATAAAAATTATTCATATTTTTGAGATTACATAAATCGATTAAAAAATATAAAAAATCATCGAGAAAACAATAACACATAATGGAATAAAATGGAATAACCCTTAGACGACATGCTTTGATAAGACTTTTAGAGTTGCCAACGTACTAAAAAAAAATCAAATAAGAATAATTTTAGTAATAGCAACACCACCTCAATTGCAGTGAGAATTCAATCTGTACAATTAATTAAAAAAAAAGAAATTAATCGATCGCTGAATACTTTCAAATGAGGTGGCACTATCATCGGGTGACTAGACAGGGGTGGAGTGGTCGAGACGTACCTTGAGGGATTCCCGCTCCCTCTGCACATCAGCCAGCTCGGCGCAGAGGGCGCGGCACACGCGATGCAGCACCGCATTCTGTTCCTGCAGGGACTTCACATCCGGGTCCGTCTCGCAGGAGGACTCCCGTGAGGGCTTCCGGTACACTTCGAAGGCGCCGTGCATTTTTGGAGCGTCCTCTCTATTGTATCCGAAGCCCTCACCCTCGTATTCTCGTGGGGCGAATGCGTCGGGAGGGAATGCTGGCTCGCCCTCACTCCTTTGGTTGACTAAACGGCGTGCGGGCGGGGACGTGGCCGGTGACATGCGCGGGGGAGGCTGGGGAGGGGGCGCAGGGGCTCCTTTGAACCTATTCAAGTCTAAAGAACTGGATCGAGTGTGGTTTCTTAATGGACGTGGTGGTGGAGGCGGTGGAGGGTCCTTCTTGGGCGCATACTGGAGTGACGCAGGCCCCTCTTCTGCATGAACTGAGGATTCCCGAGCCGGCGGGGGCGGAAGTACTCCTACATTTTTCACGGGCTTCTTGGGTTGGGGTCGTTGAATCGATTTTATTTCCGAATTGCCGTTCGAGGGCTGTTCGGGTGGTTGGGAGTTCAATCGCTTTGGACTGGCCAACTCGAATGCGTGCGCAAAATCGTCTCGTCTAGGTGAAGTACTTGATCGTAAATCGCCTTCGTGCGGCATCGTGTTCGCGTCAGGGGTTACCCTGAGAGCGACAGGATGAAATATTTTCGGATCTCGTTCCAGTGCGGATTTATGAAAATCAAAATTGACCGGCTTTGGGCCAGGACTGGAAACGCTGGAAGTGGGGGAATCGACAAATTTAGTCCACTCCTTATTATTAACTTGGGGCTCGGCTTTTGGCGGGGACAACGATGGTTGTCGCTCATCTACTTTTTTGGCAGGTTTACTTTCGTATGGGTCAATATTTTCTGGTTTGGGTGCAAAATTGAAATCGGCCGAAGTCCCAGAGCTGAACATATCAGAACCGAGGTCTACAAGATCGGTTGTGATCGCTTGTTGCGAGAAATGCGAGTCCACTTTGGGCACGAGGCAGGCGGGCAACACGTCCGGCACTGGGATGTTGTTACGTCTCAGTACTATCAGATGCATCGCTATACTGAATTCCTCTAGAGTCAGCATTCCATCTTTAGTTATATCAGATAGTTGCCAAATTTTTCGAAGATCTGGCACGGATAGACGCGATTTTTCGAAGAATAACCTGTTGAAGTTGAAAATTTAGAGTGAATGAACAGAATATATAGCAATTCATATGAATACATCCAAAGTTTAGTGGATAATTGTACGAGAGTTATAAAATGCTTTACATTTTATTACTATAAGCTGCATTAAAAAGTTTTTTAGCCAAGTTCATTTACCTTATTGAATCGTGTCTTAACCTATAAATAGATTTGGCATCGCTCCCAATAGAGGTTGTATATATAAATTAATGATAATGAAATTTATACTATTATATTATCTATATGTATGTATGTATGTATTCAGGCCAAACTTTTTTTTTCCAGGCGAATTCTAATGTATCTAAATAGGCAAAGACAACACGGTTCAGTACCTTTTTGTCTAATTGTCAACCGATGTTCTTTTTTTGTTTAGAAGCTGTTGATGAGCTTTAATGTTATGAATAAAAAATATACCGCCGAAAACCTAATTTGGGCAAGACTACTGGTTCTTACGGCGCCACGATTTGAAGGAATAAGAAGGAAGGAAATAAGACGAAAAAATTTTTCGATATCTCGCTTAGTTTTTTATATATCAATACTCGAAAATCGGAATATGACACTTTTACTTTTTTTTCACGGAATTCATATTTTTGAAAAATAAAACGAAAAATAAGAATATTCTTTTACGATATCTTGATTAGTTTTCGAGGCTAAGGGGAGACGGAAACGTAGCGTAGCTCCCTACTGAGCCTTCTCGTTAGGTCTTTTTTATATCAAACCCAGAACCCATGCTATTAAAAATAAATAATAATAATATTTTGAATGTGGGCAATAAAAACATTTATTAGTGATGCGACGAATTGTGTGATGATTCCGAGTGAAAACTATTATCATACTTTACATTTTATTTCTAAATCTATACATACAGTAAAATTCTATAACTGAACCGAATATGTACATGGAATATTTTTTGGAAAATCTTATTGAAATGGACATTATTATCGATACAGAGGCCGAATCTAGTTTTTAGAATTTTTGTCTGTCTGTCTGTTACCGCGTCACGGAAAAACCACTAGAGGGATTTTCATGAAATTTAGGATGAAGATAGCTGGTTATCCGAGTCAACATATAGGATACTTTTTACCGCGGGAAAATATCTTAATTCTGAGAAAAATACAAAAACTGCAATGTAAGAGTATACTGATATGTAAAGAATTTGGTTTTTGGTCATCTGAACGCGGGCAGAGCCGCGGGTAATGCTAGTATGCTATAATATAGCTGAAAAACTAAAGATATCAAACCTGGCAGTTTGTCCAGAAAGCAAGCCGCGTTCGGGACGTAATTGTGCGAATTGTGCCGCGTAGTGCCGCGCTTGGACCTCGCTGATCTCGAACACATCACCGTCACCCTCGCCCTCCTCTTCGGACGAGTGACGGTCTGATGACTCTTCCTCTGTTCCTGAAGATAATCAAAAAATATATTAAACGTTTATATTATACATTATTTTGTATGATTTCATATCGAAATCAATAATAGGATTCAACAAATCGATTTCGGCCTACGCATCCTCTCGGATCTGAAAGCCGCTCATGGTAGCCACTGCACTAACGAGGCAAGACTTTAATGAAACTTTTTGCTTAATATGTTAATAGCAAAGTGTGTAATAAAAATGTTATATTGAATTTATATAAAATAAAATATATATTCAAAATTATTATAATATATATTCAAAATTAAAAATATATTCAATAAAAAATGTTATACCTATTTTCACCCCCTTAAGGGTTAATTTCCGGGATGAAAACTATCCTATGTCCTTCCCAGGGTCTCAAACTATCTTCTTACCAAATTTCATCTAAATCCGTTCAGTAAATCCAGAGATTACCCCCTACAACCTCACAAACACACAAACTTTACCTCTTTATAATATTAGTATAGAATATAGTGTATCTCATGAACAAAGATGTTCATATCGCAAAGTCTGCTCATTATACAAAGAAATCATAATAATATTTTGCTTCTTTTACTTTACTAACGTAACTAAATATTTGCAAGCAAAATGTTGACGGTGCAGATAAAGAAACTTACCAAAACACAATTATTTTATCTATCTAGTAATATGTATATAAACAAAGAATAAATATATAAATTACCTTACAAATACGTTATTGACTACAAAAATGGAACCAAGCTATCTTATAAAATAACAACTGGTTCACAACATACAAGTCTCAAGTAGACTAAAATTATGTCTACATTACTATAACTAAGAATAGCAATGAACATCCATTCCGTTTAAAAATTATGTATGTATATATATATATATATATATATATATATATATATATATATATATATATATATATATATATATATTATATAGAACATATTTATTTACAATCGCCAGTAATATGTATCTAGGTAAGTCTCAAATTACCGTCCATTTATTATTATCACTTGTTGATCTATCTTAGCCCCTGGCATATGGATAGTATACTCGTAAAGTTATATTTTAAAGTATAGTCTTTCTACGAAAGGTGTATTTTTTCGTAAAGACTTTCAAATAAAACTCATGTAAATAACAAATAATTCACAGATATGAACAAAGCCTTTCCTATGAATAGCACATTTCTCATGCATAGGAATACATCTTACATACTAGCGACTCATCTAGCCTCGTCCCTAGCTTGATTCCCCATACAAACTTTCATCCCCACTTTCACCCCCTTAAGGGATAATTTCCGAGATATAAAGTATCCTATGTCCTTCCCAGGATCTCAAACTATATTCTTAACAAATTTCATCTAAATCGGTTCAGTAGATCTAGAGATTACCCCCTACAACGGCACAAAGTTTACCTCTTTATATTAGTATAGACATGTATGTGATTATGAGTTACGCATGCGCACGAAGCAACTAATTTAGTATTATAGAATAAGTATAGTAAAATATTTAAATAATATAACTCAAAAAAAGAAACAAGTTTAACAGTAATACAAAGTGTTTTCAGGGAGTATACTTGCTTGGGAAACATAGCTTGTTCAAATCCCTAACATTTTTAATTTAAGAGTTTTGTTATTTGTATGAGTCATATTTCCAACATCATTGTCATTTACTATCATGATAGATAAAAACATCCTAATCACATCTACTTACACGTCTGAGAAAACTTATAAATTTTTCGAAAGATGTGTGAAGTGCATTGTGGTATATGATCTTATCTCCCTCGCATTAAGAGAGGCCTGTGCCGAGTTTTGGGACGTTAAAAGCATTGAATTATTTATGTAACGCCCTACTATTTTTATTGTTCATGAAGAAACGGCAACAATACTATTGAATGAGCGCGCGTAACGCAATTAGGCCTAAATTAACAAGCTTCCCAAATAGCCAGATAATTGGTACAGTAAATATCTGTTTAAAAATGAACTCACATTCCAGTCAATTAACAAGATTCTATGCTTATTTAATTCTTTAGCCAACTGTAAAAGCGAATACGACTTTTAATACTAAGAGTAAGAAAAATATATTTAAAAAAGTATATTTATTTTAATTATTTATTTACTAAGAACATCATTTTCGCATATAATATATATATTATGTAATATAGCAGTATGTCTGTGTGTGTATAAACTAGAGAACAATTATTGGACTAATTCACTAGAAATACGTGTTAGGGTAAACTATAAGCAGTGACAGTTTTAAATACAATTTACTTTTAATGAAATGTTCAACAATATTCTTACCTAAAAGCCGAGTATGTTCTTCAGCAGTATTCGTAGGCCAGACTCCACGGCCAGTGGCACTGTGCTCCCACACAGGGTGAACTCTCTCCGCAATACTATTGGTAGGAGTTGGACTCTCACTTGCAGTGCTCCATGGTGATCCGGCTTTAGCTCTTCTCTATAAGTAAATTATTACTGTATGAAACCTTTGTCGATTCAAAAAATTAGAAACCAATAGAAACATATAAAACAATTATTGTTTTATGATATATTTCTATCACGTTATTTATTTAAACTGATATAGAGTCAAAATTAAGGCATAATATTTGTACAAAAAGTTACCTATGACAAAGTCAGTTATAGGACAGATTAAACTGATATATAACCAATGTGATCTAGAACATGAATCTAAATAATACTGTCCATTCTAATATGCTGCTAGGATGTGGGTTTGATTTTCACACAAAATGACAGTTCTGATTATATAAATGTTATTCTCGGTATTGCCTGACCGAACTTATATTATAAAAATGTTTTTTTTTTAATATGAAACATAAATTTCAAAATCTAAAGCACAAAGTTGATTAAATCTATTATTAAGCATAAGGACCAACTAACTACTGTATTTTTATAGGAAAATTGTAATAAGCCAATTGGCTCATTACAAGTTGCCATTTAAACTGTTTGTCAGAATACTATGAATTAAATAAAATAAAAATAATATGTACAAAGAATATAGGTGGTAGTAGTGCTTATTTCAGAATATATAGACACTTCAATACCAATTTTAATAAGTAAATAACATAATGTCTGTATATTTCAAAAGAAAAAATATTGCAATTTCTCAATTTTTTTTTTAATTATAATTATAAAATTTTATAAATAAAAAAAGTAAGAACTAGTAGGTAACATTACATCAAACTTGATGTGTACCAAAAAATTGTTACTGCAATTAATTTGTTTGATATCTAGCACTTATACTACTTAATAGTGGTGACATTGAGCTCTTATCAAATCCCAACATAATGAGTATTCTTTACATATAACTGATAACACTAATGACTTAAAAACAAAATTCAGGTAACCTGAATCCAAAACTTATAGTATTTTTCATTTTCCATTAAAATAATACCTAATAATTATCATTACTCACTCCACATGATCCAGATCTTTGTGATGCAGTTTCAGATTCCATTTCTGAATCTGTACTGAGTGCTTCTGTAGGATCATGTGACAGAGTTTGAGGAACATCACTATCAGAAAGATTAGACGATAACCTCATAGGTTCATATGCTCCAAGATTACTCCCAAAACTTCTCTCACGCTTTGAAATATGTTGCTCTTTAGGAGAATTAGATAACTGTATCAAATCTGCATTAGCATCAGAGTTCAATGCCCACGTAAATCTTGGAAGTGGCAGGTCTAAAGGTGTGGACAATAGTTCAGGTTTTAAAGACATATTAGTTTGATGAGCTGCTATCAGTTTTAGAGCTGAATAAAATTGTTTCCTATTCATATGATTCAGTGATGCACAGGTATTAGGCGCCACACTTATGTCCATGATCTGTAAAGCAATTATAATAATTTTATCAGAAATTCTCATAACAAAAATTATCTTTAAAAGCCATATTTAGAACAACTACCTGTCGCAATACATCATTGGGTATATTAGAAGACCTAAACAGTTCTGTAGCTTTTAATATCGGTATTTTCCCGTTGGATTCCTCGTCGCAACATAAAAACAAATCACCGAAATATCTCATTTCGGTCTCTGTCAAATTGAGATCCTCCATTATAACAATATACACAATTATTTTCTTATAAACACTATTACAGTTTGATATTAAAGATCCAAAAAACACTCATAACCACTATCTGTTAATGTAAATCATATTCATTGATAACTAGACAAATTTTAAAATTTAACATCACAAAATTTACACGAAGCAAACGAAGTTGTCATTGACAGCTGCCCGTCCGACATGTCCGCAGCCATTATTTTATGTAGATAATAAATATCCATTTCATATTTTTCCAAAAAAATAAATTTACATTATATCTTTATAAAAAATAAATCTGTGTTGATTGAATATAAAATTATTTACGAGTATCCTATAAAATATAACTAAACATTTTAACTCTTCAACTTGCATGGAAAGTTTACGAAAGCTAATAATTGAACGCATATCAGTAATGTTTGTTACAAGAAATCTTATCATCGGTAGACGTTAAGCCCTCAATACTTGTCCAAAATATTTGATTTTTAGTTTTTAAATATTTTTGGGGACTTCTATGCGTATGAATACTTATTTACTTATGAGTAGGATGCCTATCAACTATATTTTTCTAGGATGGATTGGAATTTCAAAAGAAAATTTCAAATACATTGCCCGCCGCGCCGTTTTGGGTTAAAAAAATGTGGGTCAAAAATATGTACTGAACATCATCAAACACTCAAGTTATATACTTCAAAACAAGAGAGAATACAAGATGTATTCTTCAGGGCTTCAGTGGCTACGTTTGGGAGTTTGGCTCCTATGTATTTATTATAATGTCCAGACACACACACACACATATATATATATATATATATATATATACATTTAATGATTATATGTTCTAAAGATTGATAGTCCATTAAAATGTAACATTTCTATATAGTTTGTGATTAAAATATATGCAGTATAGACACCCTACAAGACTTAATACTATATCTACAACACGAATCGAATTACGTTAACGAATAGTCTAGTATATATATGAAAGTTTTTTAATTTTCATCATCCTTTGGATATTCTACTCATCTTTTATCATCATGCCAATCTACGTAAGATAAAATTAAAATATAATTTGATTACCTAAAGGTACCTGTTATATTTTGATTATAAAATCCAATTATCGGATACATGGTGAGCGAAATCTTATCGTACGTTGAACTGCATCAGAAACGACATTCTTTAGCTACACCAGTTTGCTTTTTAACATGGTACCATCAACTATCTTAATTACCAATCGAGTACACTGATATAGGAATAAATAAGTTTCTAATGTATATTTATTGTCATTTAGGGCAATTAACAATATAGGGCTCATATTATTAGACAAAAAACAAACTATTAAAATATTTAGTAGGGCTTTAGTGTCTGCAGTAGCAGATTCGATTATCGTTAACAAGAATACTTTGTATTTTTACAAATTTCTGTGCTGTTTATAAGATCAGGTTAATAATAAATGTTATAATTAATAGCAAAATTAGAAATGTATTGAAAATTATAAAAAAATTGGTAGTCTTTCTGAAAAAAATATTCTATGAAATAATTGTAGCAATTTTATTCTTAATATGACTTTTATTTTTTATTATCATTGCATATTTTCTTGTACACAGTTACAGATTAAACAAGTAACACAAACATATCACTACTGTCAAAGTAGTATGTATAATAATTTAGGATACACAGCTACACTTAAAAACTTAAAAGTAATCTCGACATTTCAATCATATGTTTCTTCAATAAAAATTTATAATTTAATCCTTGGTCTGGATGTACTTGATGAGATCAATGACACGGCTGGAGTATCCATACTCGTTGTCATACCAGCTGATTAGTTTTACAAAGTTGTCATTTAGAGAGATACCCGCAGCAGCGTCAAAGATGGATGAGTGGGAGTCTCCAATGAAGTCAGTAGATACAACTTGATCTTCAGTGTAACCGAGGATGCCCTTCATTGGTCCTTCAGCAGCTTCCTTAACCTTTTGCTTAATTGCATCATAGCTCGCTGGCTTACCAAGGCGTACAGTAAGGTCAACAACTGATACATTGGCAACTGGTACACGGAAAGCCATTCCAGTGAGTTTTCCATTAAGAGCGGGGATAACCTTGCCTACAGCTTTAGCTGCACCAGTTGCAGCAGGAATGATATTTTGCTGGGCGCCACGGCCATCACGCCATAATTTTCCAGAGGGACCGTCAACGGTCTTTTGGGTGGCAGTTGTAGCATGGACTGTTGTCATTAGACCCTCTACAATCTCGAAGTTGTCATGGATGACCTTGGCAAGGGGAGCCAAGCAGTTAGTGGTGCAAGATGCGTTTGAGATGACTTTGAAAGAGGGGTCATAAGATTCTTGATTGACACCAACAACAAACATGGGTGCGTCAGCACTAGGAGCGGAGATGATAACCTTTTTGGCACCACCTTCTAAGTGAGCGGATGCCTTATCAATAGTTGTGAAAACACCAGTTGATTCTACAACATATTCTGCACCAGCTTTACCCCAGGGAATGGCTTTGGGGTCCCTCTCAGAGAATACAGCAATTTTGTTTCCATTGACAACAAGGCAGCCATCAGCAGCAGTAACAGTTCCCTTGAAACGGCCATGGGTAGAGTCATATTTGAACATGTATACCATATAATCCAAGCCAATGAAGGGGTCATTAATAGCTACAACTGAGGCTCCTTTCTCAATGGAGGCACGGAGCACCAGACGACCAATACGGCCAAATCCGTTGATACCGATCTTCGACATATTTGCTGAAAAAAAAAGAAAATTTTATTTGTTGTGGGTGTAGCATGTATTTTGGGATGAACTTCACAATAATGTCGTAGAGTATAAGCTCATATTCCTACATTCTCAAATATAGAATCAATAGAAAAGTAATAGGACGTTCATAAGAATTAGTATAAAATTAGTCGATAAATTGATTGTGAACAATGTAAAATTTTTAGTTAATACTTAAATAAAAAAAACTTTGTGATATTGCTTTGCAAAAGGTATCTTTAAATATTATCTTAATTAATTTTATTTGCAGTTTACTCTAAAAATATTTTACCGGTATATAAAGGTCAAATTAAGGTCACACAAATTCTAATGGAAGTAAGCAAATTCGAGTATTAATATCTCAATCATACGTTAAATTATAAAAGAATAGCAATGTAATCTACTTAAAATTTGAGTTATACGTATTATTTTCTTTTCAAAGTTATTTTATACACTTGACATGTCACGTATGATATTGGGCACGTCTACCGTAATCATGATGTAATACAGAAAAATCTAATAAATATTGTTATTTTATATCAATTGAATGAATAAAAACAAAATATTGCGAATGCAAACGATCTTGAATGTAAAAATACGTACCGGATTAATTAAATTGGAACTTGGAATAACAAAATACGTTCAACCACCGCAAGATGGAGACTAGAAATGTCAACTGAAGGACAAAGTAACACAGCAAGCCGCTAGGTTGAATGTAGAGTATATTAAATTTCTGATATTTCCAAAGATCAAGTAAATAAAAGAAGTAGTACTTTGTTGTAATAGAACTAAATATTTTCTTATTTAATTTTATTTTAAAAATAGCTTCTCTTCTGATTTAATTTTGAAGAAAAGCTCAGCCACTCAGTTTACTAAAGTGGTGCATTTAGCAGGCCTAATGAAGACTATGAATTATTAAAATTTTGGCTTTGTTTGATAAACAATATATATAAGTTGTACATATATTTTATATTTGAAAAATGTGTCCATATAGTCTCAAGTTCTTTTAAATCTAACACAAAACAAAACCTGTAAAAATGGAAGCATTATAATCAAAAATGGAAATTTAATTCGTTTCCGTGTTTTATGATGTTTAAGCATTGGTTTGGTACACCATAATTATCGTATTTTACTTTATCAACATTCTTATGAAATAGGAAGACAACAACTTGTTTCACATCTATTCAACATATTCTTTGATAATATAAAAAATGTCATTGTCTATGATAAAGAATAGATTTTTTTTAATAAGTTGTTCATTATATTTGTAAACTTATGGATAATTTATGATTTATGTAATAACTTTTACATTATTATATTTTCCTTTTTATTTCTAAAGAATAAAGATGGACTATTTTACATTGTTGTGTAATTGTCTTTGGATCTTTGACAATGTAATTGAGCGGGTGATTTAAAAATATATTGTTGCATTGTACAAATAAACCAAAATCTTTAAAGTACATTAACGTTTTAATATAATAATGTTAGAAATGATAAAAGTGGGTATTAATGGTTTCGGGCGAATAGGCAGGGTCATATTTCGAACGTGTATACAAGAAAATGGTTTAGAGGTTCCTATTTCATTATTATAATAAATTGAATTGTTAATGTTCAGTTCGCTATAAAATACCTGTCCTAATAGTATTGTCAGATAATCAGTAGATTTCAATTAACATTCATTATTTCACACTTATTAAGGTTTCAGCAATAAACGATCCTGCAGTTGACATTGATTACATATGCTATTTAATTAAATTCGATTCTACTCATGGAAAATTTAAAGGCAACGTAACATATACGGATAATGCAATCGTCGTCAATGGTAGGTACTTTGGTATACAAATTAAGTATATTTATTACTGTAACAATGAATTCTGTATCAGATAATGCCAAATTGCTAAAATATTATTAATAATATATTATTGTAGGAAAAAGAATTACCATTTTTCGTGAAAAATTGCCGTCGAGTATACCATGGCAATCAGCTGATGTGCAATACGTTGTGGAAGCTTCTGGAATGTTTACATGTCTTGAAAAAGCTATGGTATGGAATTGTTTTAACTGTTATGAACTATTTAGATATGGCAAATTATGTCCAAATTCAGAAAATATAATCAACCTTTTATAGTAATCTATACTAGCATTATAAAGAGGCACAGTTTGTTTGTTTCTTTGAATGAGCTCATCTCAGGAACTACTCATCCAATTTGAAAAAATCTTTTTAAATTAGATAGCCCCAAGAATCTCTTATTATTAGATTATACCTATTATAATATTTTCAGTAATATATGTATATTAAAACTACACAAAATATTAATGTGTCGCAAGATTATAAAATAGGTACTGAGATAAATTTATTTAATTTTATATTTTTCAACTGATATAAAAAAGATTCGCTATTTAGTTTTATTTTTATGTTTTTTTAGATTATACTAATCTTCATAGATTCTGATAGGATATCGCAGACACTCGTTAAATACCTACTACTCAAATTATAGGACTTAGCCGGAAAAACAACATAATTATCTTGATATGGATTATAGATAAATAATAGTGTTTTAGTAGGTATCTTATGTTTGAAAAATACCGGTCAAACGTTTAACTTCCTTCTTTTCGAAAGTTGGTTAAGGACCATTAATTTCTATGTTTCAGGGACATTTAGCAAATGAAACTGTTAAGCGAGTGGTAGTGACTGCTCCCAGTGTGGATGTTCCTATGCTAATATTGGGTGTCAATGAACAAAGTATTAATACAGGTATTTATATATTTTTTAAATTTAAAGTTATAATATACAAAATCTGTTCCTCATACGGTCTACCTTCCATGATTCAAAATGTGTTTAATTACGGCTCAGAATGAAACTCTTTTTAAGCAGTCGTAGACTTACTTTAATAAGTTTTTGATAACTTAAATGAAATATGATAGTTAAAAATTTACTAAAGTATAGCAGATTTTTTATAGGTACTGTTTTCTTGGTCTTTTGACCGCCGATGTAGAGTGAAATCAGTGTAAATGAAACTAAGACCACAGATTCGGTTTCGACATATTATGTTCGTGGTGTCGGTCAGTGCCAGCCGATACAAAACAAAAGCACACCAACTTCGTAAATATCCGATTAAAATCTATTGTAAATTATAACTGCCAATATTATTATTGTTATTTTATAATTTGGAGTGTTTTTTTTGAAGTCGGTTTTATTTATTTTTTCAATAAGTTTTTTTTTGCGCCAGGAACCTTCGCATATACAGAATAACTCACCAAAGTTTCATTAAAATATGATCAACGGTTTAGGAACATATACAGGACAAACATACAAACATTAATTTTTATTTATATAGATAGAAGAAGATAGATAAAGCAATAATGATTGTTTTAGTTGGTTATTTTGTGATTATACAGCATACAGGTTAACCGACACAGGGTCAAAAAATACATAGATACATATATTAAGTATTTTGTTTTTACTTCATCAACACTGTTACTAAAAAGCGTCAGACTCATATCTACTCGTAAATATTATGATTTAGTTGCAAGTTTGAGATAAATTAAGGGTTAGCGGTCATGTCGGTGTAGAACAACTATGAGTAAAAGTGACCTACCCTACCCCAGCCTGCAAATTTATGATATTTGCAATGAAAAAAATACTAATCGATAGATTTTCAATAGCTCAATTTAACTAGGTAGCCCTTTCAAATTGCTCACCTTTAATTATTTAATTAAAAATCAATAAAGTCTTTGAAAAAAAATTAATTTATCTGTATATTCAAATCTTTTGATATCTTTTGATGTATACAATATTTCAAATTGCTCAAAGTTCTAAAACACTGCTCAAGTTGCATTTGTAATTGCTCAAGTAGAGTTTTTACCAGCTCCACTTTCGCTGATTATTAAATAATTAAAAGTATAGTTGTAATAAATGTAACGTAGGTTAAGTGAGCGTGCGCATGCGCACCGCGCATTGTCGGTCGGCCTCGGCGGGCTTGGACAATCGTTCCAATTCAACGTCTTAATTCTGTTTCTCGGTGGATTTCTTTAAATTTATTGAATTTATGAATTGTTCACATTACGTGATTCCACTTCAGATATTATAACATAAAGAACAGATCTGGAATCTACCAATAAATGAAAATTAATACCAACAGATAAATTAAGACAAAATCTTATGTTCAAATGCTTATTCTATTAAGGTAATAGCCATGACAGGGATCATTAGTAAAATGTTATTAACATCAATACAAGACGGAACTTTTTTTTTTGAACATAATAAATAAGTCAATAAATAATAAAAATACCTGATAATAGATGATGTTGTGCTTGGAGTATTACAGTTTCATTTCACTATGATGAGGTTACGAAACACTTGATTTTTTTGCCTTGCGACTCGCGTTACTGTTTGCGCGCATGCGCAGCACTCACATCTATACGTTAAATTTATTCAAACTATTTATATTTATTTAATAATTAAGGAAAGTGGAGCTGGTGAGAACTCTACTTGAGCAATTACAAATGCAACTTGAGCAGTATTTTAGAACTTTGAGCAATTTAAAATATTGTATATATCAAAAGACTAGCGGCTCACCCTCGCTTCGCTCGGGTTCGTCGCTAGGTACGTTTTAAATAGATATAAAAAAAAAAAATCTTTCTTTCTCACATTTTAATTATATGTTTTAATACTTACCTATTCCGGACTAAGAGAAATCCAAAAATTAAAATATCATAAAAATTGGAACGCGGTCGAACGGGATAAAAAGTATCCTATGTCCTTCTCCTGGCTCTAAACTACCTCCCTGCCAATTTTCAGCTAAATCGGTTCAGCCGTTCTTGAGTTATAAGCGAAGTAACTAACACGACTTTCTTTTATATATATAGATATAGAAATTTGAATATACGGATAAATGAATTTTTTTTCAAGGACTTTATTGATTTTTAATTTTATAATTAATGGTGAGCAATTTGGAAGGGCTACGTAGTTGAATTGAGCTATTAAAAATCTATCGATTAGTATTTTTTTCATTGCGAATATCATAAATTTGCAGGCTGGGGTAGGGTAGGTGTAAAAGTGGGCGTGACATTTTACAGGATAAGATATATAATCTATACATAGTAAGATATATAATCTATATATAGTTGTAACTAAGTCGAATCTGTACACTAAATATTTTGTAGAAAATCTAATTGAAATAGACATTATTATCGATACAGAGTCCGAATCTATAGTTTTTAGAATTTTTGTCTGTCTGTCTGTCTGTTACCGCATCACGAGAAAACCACTGGACAGATTTTGATGAAATTTGGTATGATGATAGCTGGTTATACGGGTCAACATATAGGATACTTCTTATCGCGGAAAAATATCTTATTTCTGAGAAAAAATACAAAAACTGCATTATAAGAGTATACTAGTATGTAAAACCTAAGAATTTGGTTTTTGGTCATCTGAAGGCGGGCGAGGCCGCGGGCAATGCTAGGGTGGAATAAAATCAAATGTTGATTTATTATTAAAAGATGGAAGTCGATGAGGAGCAGTCGTATGTTTATTATAAGGTCTGCCTACTACTTCGTTAAATGTGTATCGGCAACACGGGCCTCCGTTCAATACGAGAGAATCGGTTTTTAGTCCACCACGTTGGCCAAGTGCGGGTTGGCGTATACACATGTCTTTCGAAAACTTGCTAGGTTCTGTCAGACATCCTCCTTACAACGTTTTCCTTTACTGTAAGACAAGTGGGAATCATGTTGGAAATGATTCACACATGAAAATATCAGAGTCGCCCGGGATTCGAACCCGCTTCACTCGGTTTCCCAAGCGAGCGCGTTACCACTAGGCTACCACTGTAGATATTAATGATATAAACATACTAAAATTACAGAGCACAAAGTCATATCATGTGCCTCAAGTACATTGTACTGTTTGGCCCCAATAATAAAAATATTGGAACAAAACTATGGTGTATCAGAAGGGTTCATAACCAGCATCCATGCAATGACGCCATCTTTAAAACCTTTAGATGGATTATGTCTGCGTGGAAAGGTATCTTAATGTATCATTTATGTTTCATATGTAGCTGTTACATTAGATATGGTTATAAATTATTGTCCAAAATGTCTTAACTAGCGACTCACACTTACTTCGCTCGGATGCGACCTTAGATGCCTACCAGTAGTATTTATGTGTGTATGTAAATTTCCCCCATTCTTCCAGTCAGTTCACCTTGAAAGATTAATAAGCATACGTACTTAATTTTGCATTTAATAGTAATCTGGTTTATTAAAATTTCTATTAATTAAAATCATTAAAAAAAATATAATTATATTTATATGTCAGTAAAGTGCTTGGTCTTGTTCCGTGTTATTTACGACTAGAGATTCACCCTCGCTTCGCACAGAATCGTCCCTAGGTTGCTTCCCCATACAAACTTTCATCCCCATTTTCACCCCCCTAGGGATGATTTCCGCGATAAAAACTATCCTATGTTCTTCCCAGGATCTCAAACTATCTTCTTACCAAATTTCATCTAAATGGGTTCAGTAGTTTCGGAGTCTATTCAGTGCAAACAAACAAATCTTTCCTTCTTATAATATTAGTAAGTATAAATTAATATAGATATTTGGTATAATTCCAGCATTGGCGTGATCATAGAAGTATTCATCAAAATATAATACCAGCTGCAACCGGTGCTTGTAAAGCTCTTAGTAAGATTATACCACAAGTTAAAGACAAAATGAGTGGAATCGCTTTTCGTGTTCCCATTGTAAACGTTTCCGTACTTGATATAACTATACGGTAAATTTACTGAGATTAAATTGAAACCCTGTCATATCCTCCCTCTCCCTCTATGCATATTTTCTCATGGAGACGATGTACGTAGTTGATAGTTCATAGATCTGGTCTCCCTTCTGTCAGTATCGAGATATTTGTGTGATCAAAGGGCCTAGACAAAAGACATTTTCAATAGACTTCTTTGAAAAGGAGGAGGTTCTCAATTCGGCTGTATTTTTTTTAATGATTATGACCTCAGAACAGCCGATGCCATATCGGTGCTAGCTGATACAAATCAAAGCACACCGACTTTGAAAATATTTGGTTAAGTATCTATACTCATTGTAAGGTACCAATCAGTTATTTTTTAATCTTTATTGTTTTTTTTTGAAATCGTTTTTTTTTTAAGTTTTTAGTATTGGCGTTCACGCTAAACGTTAGTTATAAAGTGTAGGAAAATGACATTTACGTAATGCTAACAACAGTAAAACAAACGGATGAATTTTGTCTATACCTATAAGATGTCATAAGATACCTATAAGATGTAACTTGTTTCATTATTACAACATTTCATTAAAACTAAAGTAATGCCGTATTCATATCGTAATGATTAGTTGCAAGTCAATGCTTTGAGATAAATTATGGGTTAGAGGTCATGTGCTCTTTTGATCAACAAAAAGGGGGCGTGACGCCTCGTAGATAAGAACGAAATCCTGTTATACTATCTACTAATGTCATGCACGTTCCAAAATAGAGATTTCATTTCGATCTTGAAATAATAATAAGTAAATATGTTGGGACATTAACACACAGCACCATCTAGTTCCATGGTAAGCTACGAGGCTTATATTATGGATACTAGATAGTTGATACACTATACATATATAACTTTAAACATACATATTATAAATATAAACAACCATGACTGGATTACAAACATTCGTGCTCATCACACAAATGAATGTCCCCAGCGGGATTCGAACCCGCGACTACTGGCACAGCATGTAAGGTCACTACAAACTGAGCCAAACGTGTCGTCAATGTAGAAATATCGATATTTATATGGTCAGATACACATTTAATCTGCAATCTTCTATAATAATGAAGATTAACAGTATAAACAATATTTTCTTTTAGTGAAAAGCAATAGCTACCCTTTAGTCTTTTCTCCGCGACAAACGCCACCATCAAAAATTGATACATCATAATAACTGTTGTTCCAGATTAAACAAAAATATAGGTATAGAAGATATATTCAAACGTATAGATATTGAAAGTAAAACAACAATGAAAAATATTATAAAATTATGTACCGATGAAGCTGTGTCTTCTGATTTTTTGGGCGATGAACATTCTTGTATCATTGATGTGAAATCAAGTTTACAATTGACACCAAACTTCTACAAACTCATCTGCTGGTACGAAAATGAATACTCGTACGCCTGTCGTGTCATAGATTGTATCAGGTTTTCAGAAAAATCTTTCCATACAGACTTAATTTCTAAAGTGAATTCTAATAGATTGTTATCAAAAACACTATTTCAAGATAAATCAGTACCATATATGCGGCAATCAATTATTAACAGTTCTCAGGATATATATTTTAAGCCTAAACTACCAACGCAAATAGTGATAAATAATGCCTTGCCTTTACGAAACAAAAGTTCTAATCAATCGACTCGGAAAATTACGAATGCTGATATTTTTAAAATCTGTAACGATGGCGCAAAGCTGGACTTACCGTTTGTGAGAGATAATAAAAATTCCCAATTTAACAGTTGTGTTGATTTTCGACCGTACAGTTTAGATCTTTTAAAGTATAACAAAAATCAAGAACGCTTACAAAAGGCAAAACAGGAAGTGTCCAAAATGATGGATATGACTGAAAATTTACTTAAAGAAACAAATCAGTACAATAAACGCAATAGTTTTAGTAAAAGTGGCGAAGATAATTCTAATGTTAGTAAAATATACAAAAATGTTTTTAAATCTCCTCTGAAGGACGTCGTACCATCGATAAAATATGATAACGAATTTAAAATGGAAAACGTTAGTCTGAAACCTGAAAGTATTTTAGCTAATGAAGATATATTAAATGGCGCCGTAGAAAGTTCAAAGTCATCAAAACTAAACGTTCCTCCTATTGATCAACAAGAAAAAACAACTGATCAAACTACAAGCTGCATTATAGATGTAAAAAATGGTATATTTGAATTACAATTGCAAAGTTCAATTAAAAATAATACATCTATCGATGTATTACATAACTATAAACAAGATGCTTCGGATGACTTTAAAGGAAGTACAAGTATTGCAAATGTAACCAAAAGTGATGATACCAAATTAATTATAGAAGAAAACATATTAGAAATAGTAAACAATGCCGAAAAAGGAACAGATAAGAAAAAAGAGATGCGAAAGAAAATTTTAGAAGGCATTATAAAGAAACTTTCAGTTGAGAAAATTTACTGTCCTACTTCAACTAGAACAGACATAGCGATGAGGAAAGATAACAATATTTACGATAAATTAGATAGTGCAAGTAATTCAGATTCAGAAAACTCGTTTCAAATGAATGAAAGGAAATCACAAGTAATAGATTTAACAGATTTGACAAATTCCGCTGAAGATTTGTCTCGTTTGGATAAAATATGTAGAATTATTGAAATATCAGATGAGCTCTCCGACAATTTATTTTCAGCTTTGGATAATACTCATGATTTGAAAAGAGAGAAGTGGTCTTTCAAAGATTTATGTGAGAGATTGAAATTGGATGAGTTTTGTAATAAGATTTTTGGTCAGACAATGGAAGATAAAATTTTCTGATATTGTTTTTTTTATAACATGGAACATAATAAAAAGATTATAGTATATAAATAATTAAAACTTTATTTCAAGGCATGTTTTATTCTTAAACTAGAAGCTGTATAAAAATATTATTTAGGCTATTTTATAAAAAAATGTAAAAAAAATATAATCCAGGTACAATTGTTTAAGCTAAGCTCGTTTTGGTATGTTTCCAACAAAACATTATTCATAAGACATTTTGGTGCTTTAAGACCAAAATATAACATTATCCATAATAATACTTTCGCAAAAGATTTACGCGAATATTTGACATTTTAAATAAAACTAATCGAAAAGTCTCCCGTAATCATGATTGCTGTAAAGCATTCGTCACGTTGGAAACCCAAAATCAAAATAAGTTTTATTAAAAAACGTCCATAACAATTTGAAGTGGTCATTAGGCATAAATATTTAGAATTATATTATCTTAAACAAATGACTTTCTTAGGCAAGGGAATAGCGAAAAACAAGGAACAGAATCAGTACAACAGTATAGATTTTAATTTTGCAGAAACTTGTGTGCATTGTTTTTTCTTTAATTAAAAAAATATATTTTAATTTAAAAGAAGAATCCGTATTACATATCAATTTAATGTTTATGACATATTGATAAATATACCAAATATGTAATAGGAATGTTAAACATCCTTGGTTTGACATGCATAAGAAGAATTATTTAACAAGGCTTCGTCATTGTTGAGCTCATCAATAAAAAATGAAACGAGCCATACAGCGACACCAACCAAAGAACACTTAGGACTGATAATGTAATAAAACCTATCCTAACTATGAGACCTAACCTTACCCGTCGTATTGTGATATAACTTGATTGTTCGTCAATAACTTATAATTTAATTGTATAATAATTTTGGGGAATAGAGCGTCATCTAAGTCAACGAAATCGGCAATTATAACGTTAACAGCTCCTGGGCCATCTCTGTTCATGGGTCTGCCGGGGGAAAACTCTTCAAGTTTAGGATATATTTCATTTTTCACTGGCTTCGCACATTTATCACGTAAATTTGACACCCACCTGTAATTTATTTAATTAAATTAAAATATTAGTAGAATGTACCTTTAAATGGATTTTATGGCGTATTAATAATTTTATTTTATTTGGGAAGACACGGTATTTTATAACATAAGTAGGCTTATAACAAATAAAATATTACACAAACCAGCAAAGTTTCCACTAATTGAAACACACCCACACATAGTAGACAACAAGAAATTTATAAAAGAAAAAAAATACATTTAAACATAAAACATCAAAGGGTTTAAAAAAATCCTCAAAGGCTAACAATTTTAAGGCTAAATATTTACAAATTTTTTGTTATGCACTATTTTCTGCCCGTGGCTCCGTTTTAGTGGTACTACCATTATGCTGTCTTAATATTATAAACGCAAAAGTTTGTGAGCATTGATGGATAGATGTTTATTAGGTACTATTTCAAGGCAAAACTACTGAATGGATTTTAATGAAACTTCACAGTAATATAGCTTATACATTACACTAACACATTATATACTATAATTTTTAAATATATAAAAACACATAACTACTACGCGTGTAGAAAAGCCGCATGAAAACGCTAGTTTTATGTTATTTTTAATCTCTCATGCGATCGTCAATGAAAGAATAATTATAAATAGATTAAAGTAAAAATATACCTGAATAAAATAAAAGCAGGTGTAGGTGTCAACACAGCTTGATGAACGAACCCAGTGCCAGGATGCCTTTTAACGGTTTTGAGGAAATTTAACAACCCACTGATATTGTCCTGTCGAGGCCAAGGTGAAGGCATCATTTGGGGTTGCCAGAAGTCGCCTGTCGCGTACACTGCTTGGTGACGGTAGACTACAATTACCTGGAAAATGTCAAAATAAAATCACATTCTTTATGTAATCAGCTCTTTTTAACGTCCCACTGCTGAGCACGGGCCTCCCTTCAATACGAGGGGAATCAGGCCATAGTCCACCACGCTAGCCAAGTGCGGGCGAACTGAGCATGTCTTTCGAAAACTTGCTAGGTTCTCGCAGACATGCAGGTTTCCTCACGATGTTATCCTTCACCGTAAGACAAGCGGTAATCATGTCGAAAATTATTCGATTATAATGTAAATATCAGAGGTGCGAGACCCGGGATTTGAACACGCTTCACTCGGTTTTCCAAGCGAGCGCGTTACCATTAAGCTACCATAGACATTTTTTTATAGTTTTTATAAAATAAATCTATGACGTCTTTGATAACCATTGATCTTGGCAAAGAAAATATTTTTATTTTATAATCAAAACTATATTTTAACGACTGACGATATAAGTTTGGTTACGTAATTTTTAATATACCAGTAATGTTATAAATTAACTAGTAGATGGTCAAGGGTTCATTCCCGTGCAGAATGTATGTGTCCTTAAGTATAAAATAATGGTATTAAATTAGCAATTCTTTTATATATTTATATAAACGAACGAACGGCTTTAACGATTTGGATCAAATCTTGTATTTAGAATAAGGTTTTGCTTTTTAAGGTTGGGCATGTAATTTTCAGAGGCAGTGGTAGCACAGTGGTAACGCGCTCGCTTGGGAAACTGAGTGAAAACAGTTCATATCCCGGGTCTCGCAACTCTGATATTTTTATGTGCGAATCATTTCCAACATGATTACCACTGTTGTCTTAACGGCGAAGGAATACATCGTGAGAAAACCTGCATGTCTGAGAGAACCTAGCAAGTTTTCGAAAGACATACTCAATCCGCGCGCACTTGGCCAGCGTAGTGGGCTATGGCCTGATCCCCCTCGTACTGAAGGGAGGTCCTGCAGTGGAACGTTAAAAAGGGCTGAATACATACATACACATGTAATTTTCCAAGAACACCTCGATAGAACCAGTTACTGTGTTTTCCTTTGGGAATTAAAGATTTTTCTTCAATAAAAGGTATCCTAAATGTTGACCTGAGTAATAAGTTATCACTACACAAAATTTACTTAAAATTGGTTGAGTGTTTTTTGCATCAAACGAGCACATCGATTTTACTAAGTTACTGTTTTTATTATATATATAGATACAAACTATACAATCAAACTGGCAGGATTTGCCGGCATATCTTTTTACACGGTATCAATAGACAAGGCTGATATAGTTTAAGCATGGGATGGGTTGCAAGTAACAAACAAGACAATTGAAATGAAAAAAAAAAAAAATATCATCATAAATACCTGTTGACCCAATCTATGAAGACGTTTAAGTGTAATGCCGTCTAAATCAGACTGTCTGGGGACAAGTAGTGGTCCAAATAAATTGATAACATATCTCATAAGTCTTTGATGATCGTCTTGAGTGAATCCATAGAAATGTTGGAAATCTAATATCACCACCTGGAATTAGAAGAAAATTTGTTTTTTGTTTGATATCTTTATTTCTCTGAGCTTCCTTATAACCCTAGTATATTATGTACTAAACGCAGATCCCACGCTACATGTCAAATTAGTTCTGCAAGAACCGCGGTTGCAAAACGTCATTACCCATATGTAAATTGTAGACTCTACAATAAAATCAATAAATTATTGAATATATATCCATTCGCATCTTATCGTTGTAAATCTGTATGTACAGCATGGCTTATATCCATTACGTATGACGAGACTGAAGAACTTTTGACCATTGTTTATTAAAGAATTTTGCATTCACAAACACATATTCCGAGAGCTGGCGACGAATTTTGGGAAGGTCCTTTTGGCAAGTTGAAATTGTGAAAAAATATAATTTCGTAAATCTATAAAAATAGCAAAAAAATCACGGTCGTTGTATGGGAGCCCCCTTAAATATTTATTTTATTCTATTGTTTTGTATTTGTTGTTATAGCGGCAACAGAAATACATCATCTGTGAAAATTTCAACTGTTTAACTATCACGGTTCATGAGATACAGCCTGGTCACAGACGGACGGACAGCGGAGTCTTAGTAATAGGGTTCTGTTTTACCCTTTGGGTACGGAACCCTAATAAAATACTCTGTTGTGAACGCAGAGCCCGAACCATACTCGAAACGTACGGTTTCTCGATAACCAATCACAGCGCGAGGACCTTGGGTCCCCATCAGCTGCTGCCATACCTCGATAAGCTATCTTTCTTACACCTAAAAAGACTTTTTTGTAGTACTAATTTGTAAACTTTATTTACATCTGGGAAGGGTTTAAAACCGCTAAATTCGTCTGGCGACTTGTAAATATTATTGAAAATTACTCAATAAATACGTGATTAAAATTTCAGATTGCCAAAAGTATGTTTTTTGGAATAAAAAAAAAGAGTCTTTGGAGAGGTCTGGCAATACTTTATAACCGACAAAAACGTCTGGGGTTCTTTTTTTTGAATTATATGAAAGCTAAATTAAAGGATTAAACAAAAATCAAGTTGCCAAAAATATGTTTTTGCAAATATTGTATACTGCGCAGTAGCGAAGTAACCGCTAAAGCTATACCAGACTCGCGGGACTGGACTCGCCAATTCACGAAATTATATTTTTTCACAATTTCAACTTGCCAAAAGGACCTTCCCAAAATTCGCCACGAGCTTTCAGGCTAACACACACTCATACATCATCATCATCTTATTGTTTTTCAGTTTTTATAAAATAGTTTAAATATTGTATGGAGACAGGCGTTGATATCTGCCCTCTCAACGTGCGTTCACCTTGTCGTGGTGGGGGGGCTCAGTAGTGCCCGGCAATCCAACCAGGCGCGAAGCTATGAAACGCACAGGGAGGTGGCCCACTTCGGTGGGCGGTGGGAGGTGGCCCTCTTCGGGGGGCGGTGTACCATGCGGGTTGCTCCTGGTACTTCTCTGATAGCAGAGTGGACCTTGGAGTAACCCCATGGTTGTGGTGGTCTGCTTCGGCAGACCTGCCGTCGGGGCGTCGTAGTTGAATGCGTAAGCGATCCTGCGACGCCCCATTAAGACGGGGGAAGGTTTTGTTGGGTTTTAGTGGGTAGTACTGGCTGTATTACGCCGGTGAGTCCCACACGTCGTGCGTAAATGCATTTCCCAACGTTAAAAAAAAAATGCGTTGATATCTGCAGTTTATACGTTTGCAGTATCATCGAAGCCATTGTTTTTTACTGTGTACTTATAAGAATTGTTACTAAATTAATAAATTTCAATTCAAGAGCTTCACCCAAAAATATATATTAGGTATTATGTGTTATGCATGAATTCATAAAGCTTATGACATTCAATATTGTATTGTTTTAAGAAAATATTAATCAAAGCAAAGAAACCAGAATAAAATTCAAATATATATATATTAAAATAAAAGTAATTATTATAATATACTTTTATAGAAGTGCTATAAAAAAAAACAGTTTATATTTTATATTATTAAAATTAACTAACCTCATAAGGATGACTATCAACGAACTGTTTTATTTGCTGCAGTGGTTGATATATTTCACCTGCATATACACCATGAGTGAAAAAGAAGTCTTCTGATCCAGTCTTAGTTGCCAGCCTTAAATCAAAGTATCTAAAAAAACCAAAGAAGTTAATTGGAGTTTTGTTAATTTTTTTCTTATTGTTGACACCAAGGTTAGTTTGCTAATACAATGGACATACAATAAAAAGTAGTACAAAAATGCTGAATTAACTGGAGATATCTGAAAACTGGCACAGATATCTTATATACTTAAATCTATCTAACATTTTAAATATGTTGGGACATTAACACCCAGCACCATCTAATTCCATGGTAAGCTACGAGGCTTGTGTTATGGAGACTGGATAGTTGAAACACTACACATTTAATGTAACTTTAAATACATATATGCATATTATAAATATGAACATCCATGACTGGAGTACAAACATTCATGCTCATTACACGAATGCAACGGGACTTGCATCCCCAACCACTGGCACAGCAAACAGGGTACTGCAAACTGAGCTGAATGTGTTGTCAAATAAATTATTGTACAATATCTTTGTTAGTGAAATAAATATATATTTTTTATTTAGATAATACATAAATATTATTTTTATTAACTCAAAATATAATCTTCTATTGATATTGCATATATTTTAATTATAAATATTGCACATATTTTATAAAACTTTTCAAAAATATATTATAATTAAAAATTTATATGGTCACATCTCACCTTCACAAGCATTAAAAATATTAATGGGATTTTAGAATTAGAATAAGTTAAATATGATTAAGTTTTTACTATATACTATTACGGTACTTTATTTACTGACAAAATATAATTTTTATAATTTATGTAGTTTATAAAAACAGTGAATGAAGTACCTAATGCCAATAAGAAGTTGTTGTAAGGCATCTATTGCCTGTGTAATGGTCCATCTTAAGATCGTACCTTGAAACAGAGGGTACAGTCTCTTCACAACGGGTTCAGCATCAGGAGCTAGACCACTAGACCTTGTTATGCCATATGTCATTGAATCATGGCTGCCTGAAATCAATAGAAGTGAAATAAATAAGCTTAATATATGACATTTTATTCTATTAAATCCTAATAAGTCATATTTAAAAACAATAAAGTTGTTTTATTGTAAATAGAGTTATTGAGACTGTTTTATTAAGATAGAGGTTTTTTAAGAGTTACCTGGGATGGCAAGATATATAAGTGGAATATTTCTTAACTGTTCTGGCAGATCCTTCATCCAATTCTGAAGATCGATATTTTGTGCAGAACCATTGTCACTCATAACTAAACCTGAAAATTACCTTCTTTTTAAACTTTAATTTTATTAAATTCACTAAAGTAGAAGATTTTTTTACAGCTTTTGTTACACAGGTAGCTATTAAAACTACAATAAAACAATGACACCAGGTTACTATGGTAATAATTGAATCACGTCATAATACAAAAATAACTTAAACCTTGAGTTATAAGGCTCTTTGTTCTTAGAAAGTAGGTTTTAAAATTTCTCATTTTAATATTTTCCCGCCTTTGAACCCAAACTTTATTTTATATGTTTAGGATTTAGATAAATCTACAATTTTGAATAGAACATTTCTTTTGGAATATTATTGTGTACTTGCGCACAATTTTAAAACATCGTATAATACTTTAATTTGACCATATTAGCTTATCACTTTGCCATTTGACAATCAATTATTATTAGAATTTGACAGTTTTAGCATTGACATTTTGTATTCTTTTACGTTCCATTTTGCGTCTATGTTGATTAATTGTTTTTTTTGTTTTTATTTCAAAATACAAATCGATTGTTTCTCAAATAGTTAGTTACTTAAATTGATACTTTGTTTTATTCTATTACTACAGCGACTCACCCTCGTTTCGCTCGGGTTCGTCCATAGGCGATTCTATAAATTGACATATTTTTTCATTTATGAACCAATTGAAATAAAACAAATACTAAATGATATGCGAAGCTTACCACAATACATTACTGAAAACTGCACCCAAATCGGTTCAGCCATTTCTGAGATTAGTGCGCACAAACGCACAGAGAAACATATAAAAATTCTAAAAATAATTGTTTTGGGTTCTATTGCGTTAATAATGCCCCCAATGATAGTTTAATTAGGGTTCCGTTCCCAAAGGGTAAAACGGGACCCTATTACTGAGACTTCGCTGTCCATACGTTTGTCTGTCTGTCCGTCTGTCAGCAGGTTGTATCTCATTAACCGTGATAGTTAGCCATTTGAAATTTTCACAGATGATGTATGTCTATTGCCGCTAAAACAACAAATGCTAAAAAAACAGAATAAAATAAATATTTCAGGGAGCTCCCATACAACAGACATGATTTTTTCCCGTTTTTATAGATAATTCTCTAATATCTTCCATGTACCTACAGACAGCGATCAGTTACAATTTTATTATATGTTTAGATAACTTATTGCTTTATTAGCTATTAAGCCATTAAAGCAAAGAACTGAACTGACATATAGCTAAGATATACCTATTATTTTCGAAAAAGTATATAAAAATACGATTAACGATTTTTTTCTGGATTTTTTTTTAATACAATTTAACTAATTTTAAATTCTATTATAGATTGGTTAATCAGTATGGAGATCACACGAACATATTACTAGAATTAATTTAAATTAAAATTGTTTGAAGAAAATAAGTTTGTTTTTTTTTTTAACATACGTAATTATAATGATGTTGGGAATATATTATATATTATTCCGCACGTTTGTTATTTTGGGATAGGTAGGTATATTATACTGTTACGTAAGTCTTGGGGTTGAGTTGGAAAATTACTTATTCGTTCAATGAAATGAAAGTGATACTTAGAGTAACTATCCTATTGTTTTTTTGTGTTTGTTTGTTTTGTAGTTTTATTACTTCTTATTTTATTACTTACTTCATCAATCTATAACGGCTAACCGGTTTTCGTTAAATTTGAAATAAAGATAGCTTATATCTTGGATAATAGGAACTTTTAATTTACGTACACACCTCTGGTCGCTATTAATAATTTAGATTGAAACTAATTTTAGGTATTAATTGAAAAGGTTTTATTTAATATGGAGCAAAATGACGAGAAGTGTATCAAATTTATATAGAAATTAATAATAGACCTACATTGTAGCTCTATATATTATTACATAGGTAAATTAATTTTATTAAATAAATAATAAATATGTCAGGACATTAACACACAACGCCATCTAGTTCCATGGTAAGCTTGGGGCTTGTGCTATGGATACCAGATAGTTGATACATTATACATATATAATTTTAAATACATATATAATATAAACACCCATGACTGAGTACAAACATTCGTGCTCATCAACAAACGAATGCCCCCAGCGGGACTCGAACTCGCGACTGCTGGCACAGCAAGTAGGTTCACTACCAACTGAGCCAAACATTGTATCTATAATGCCATTAAAGTATTATCTAGTATTCATATCAAGCTCTTTTGTATAGTATATATATTATATAGTAACGAAAATGTTTCATATTTTGGAAAAGTAAAATACTGGCCAATATTTAATATTAAAACATATCTATTGATAGGTAATTCTAAGTGTCTTTGTACACACAGAAAATAATATTTTTCCTAAATAAATGTCAATTGATCTATCCTTTGGAAAATTATATGTGTTAACTTTTTTATATATCCTACATTATTTTTGTGTTGAAAATTTCAAACACTGTACTGCTTAAAAAAGGTCTGATATAAATCTTCAAAAAAAATTAAGAAAATAAAATTATACAAAGATTGTTCGTTCAGTCAAAAAAAAGCAAACGTATACCAACCTAAAACAAGTATGGTAAATCCGAAATGCATCATATAACAAGAAACACTTGTAAATATTTGATACCCACTTTTAGAATGTCACTTGTTGTGCTGTACACATCTAACGGTTATCTATCTTAGGTATAATTTAATATTCTAAGTTAGCACATACGAGTAGGTTACCCGAGTAACTGAGAAGTGCGTGTGATTCAGTATGAATAATCTTGAGGCTAATAAATGCAAAAAGTAATGGATGTTATTGGTATATTCGCGATTGCTTTGTTTCGGAACTTAAAATCAACTGATGTATGCCATTTAATGCCGATTAGGTGAAAGGACTGGGCTCCGGATTTTTTTTTTGTTACTTTAGTTTGATTTTAACCTTGTTTTTTTGTCATCTCAAACTTTGAGACTATTAACTAAATTACATAAATCGTTAGATATAATAAATACATCTTTTGTAACTAATATTACAGTATTAGTATAGTGACATTGAGGAACTACAATATCTATATTGCTTCAGGTTTTGAACGAGTTTGTCAAAACCGGTACCTATCTAAGTCTTTATTGCATTGCCCAGCCTAACTAGATACCTATATTTTTTAGATTATGATGTAAGTAATATCCTTAAATTTTATAATGTATTCATTGATATTATTATTTACATTTCAATATTTTATTCACTTAGATTGTATTAGATACTTAGATAAAATATAATTTCAGTTTGAGTAAGTCTTGATTGTGTGTGTTTTATTTTAAAGTTTAAATCTTAAAAGAGATCATATTGACTATTTGATCATATTCGCGTGTATTTAATTACCTATTATAAAAACAACAAGAGCAAGGTCTTAAGCGATGCAATAATATCTAACGTATTATCTAAGTTTTAATTTGATAATGGGTAGATAATTTTGATAACAATGAGTAATGTTTTAGGGGGTGTACAGAGAAACACCAAATAGTGATACATTTTTTACGCTCTTTTTTCATTCGGTATCAATTGCTACCACATACTAATTTATAAACAAAACCATGAAAACCACCAGCTCTCAGTGTCGATAATAAATTTCTTTTCTTTTTATAATTATAAACATTCATTCTTATATACAATAAAAAAGGGCTTTTTATGTAGATCTACAAATTACAATACTTTTATGTGGTTAGACATAAGTGAGTCAGAGACATAATTGTAACTCTATAGTTGATAGTCATGAAAATATTTTTCCTTGTAGATCTTATTTCTTATAATAAATAGTGTTTAATCTCTTGCCTTATTTAACAAGGGATCATTTAATTACGACTCACCATTTTTTTTATCATAAGATGAAATCTTGGTGGTACTGTCATTGTTACATCAACGTACGAAAGGTGGCGCACAAGTTTAATGGGATAATTTGTGAAGGTGTGGTATTAGTGTGAATAGAATAAAATATCGAACTATTAATAATAAATAGTAATTTAGTTGGATTGTCTGTAATGTAGTTTATATCTTTGCTAGGATGCGATAGCTTCCGATGTAGTCAAGTTATTAAAACTTAAGTTAAACTAGACAAGCTTGTAGTCGCTGATTAAGCTACTATATTTAAAGGGCATAGATGCATACAGATTACAGAGCGATAGCTATAGATGTAACTTTTATATTCACATATCGCAGTATTTAAAGATAATAGTCAATAGTAGAGTTCCAGGAGGGTAAATAGCTTTATTGGAAGTCCACACTCCACAGGGGCTGAGCACCGTTAGGAAAAGAAAACCTGCTTTTGAAAACTTGCCCACGCGACGGGTGTTTACCTGCAATCCAGCCGGGCGCGAAACCAAGAAATGCGGGAAGCGGCTCACCACGGCGGGCGGTGTACCATGTGAATTACTCCTGGTACTTTTCCGATAGCAGAGTGGACCGTGAGAGCAGCCCCTTGGTTGTTATAATCCAAATTCTGAGCCTATCCGACGAGACGCATATAACATAAAACACGAATAGGTTACAAAATAAATAACATCACATAAAAAAATCATGTTAAATAGAAGACAAACAACTTTATTAAATCTTTAAAGACATAACAAACTATACAATGTTTCCTGAAAGATAAGTCATGCGAAAAACCTATGAAGCACGAGCGCGTAATCTTAGTAGGGCTTGTATTTACAATATTATAAACAATGGAAATATTGATGCCGCGAAATATTTAATTCGTTTATTTTTCTTTCGAAGTTAATAATTTATTGTATTTGGTAATTGGTTTATCTGTATATTTAATTTTGTCTGAAAATTTATTAATTAAGTACTACCATTTTCCTGCGGCTCTGCGTTATAAACTATAGCCTATATGTCTTACTATGATGTATAAGCTATAATATAAAATTTCATCAAAATCCGTTCAGTAGTTTTTGCTAAGAGAGTAAGTAACAAACATCCATCTAATATCCATCCTCACAAACTTTCGTGAATCGTGTTTATAAAACAAGGGTTAACTCCACAAATTACATTAACTCGCATTTGGCTAGCGTGATGGACTATGGCCTAAACCCCTTTAGCATTGAAGCGGATTTGTTGCACTGGCTAATATTTTTATAAGGTCAGGAATATTTATTTATTATTTCATTTTAACTAAAGTCACTTAGGTACTTAAGGTAAAATAAAGGCATTAACCTTTAAAAGTGAATGAGCTGTGAGCTCTGACCCACTTCTGGAAACCATTAACCGTTTATGAATTTTTAATAAGAACTTATGCTTAAAATGTGTTATAAGAGAAAGTTAAAAAGTAATATATTAACACTGTTTTTTCATACTCTTAAAAATTGTATGTATAGGCATTATATTATTTGTACTGAAGTTAGAACTAGCTATGCAAAACCTATACAATTTTGTCACTATAGTTTTCATACGAAAAACAAAAATCTTCAGTGAATACTATAGGGTACTTTATACTAAAAGCAACAATATCTTGGACTAGGAACTAAAGTAAGAGCACTACTGTTAGTCTATGTAGATTAAAGATGAAAGACATTTGGCAATCATTCATAGACATCACTTAAAGTAGGGCGACCGATTTATTTACGATCACCAGAAGGCGGTCAGGGATTTTATCATTGAATTCAAACCTTTGTCAATCGTATTTTATTATTACATAAATCTTACTAATATTATAAATGTTAAAGTTTAGATGTGAGTTTGGATGTTTATTACTCAATCACGCCAGAACGGCTGAACGGATCTGGATGAAATTTGGCACAGAGATAGATTATAGTCTGGAATAATACATAGGTTACTTTTTATCCCTGAAAAATGTGCGGTTCCCTTGGGATAGATTTGTTTTTGTTTTTCGACAGACCGACTATCTATTGGATACTAACCCTTAAAACGTACCTAGGGACGAACCCGAGCAAAACGAGGTGACTCGCTAGTATATAATTTTAATGATGTCTACTTACAGAGGTCATATTAAATAATAACATTGTGTAATTAAGTGCAGTGCATTATGTTCATTTGTTTTTGTTGCATATAATTAGTGGGACAAAGATAACAATATATTCACCCGAGTTCTCACGAAAATAGCCGAGCGAGAATCGATGCTTCCCGAACTCGGTGCTGTCTGTGCCAGGTCGTTTATACTCCGTCTCGCTCCCTACCACTAGCCACTAGCCAGTCACTAGAGTAGTGAGTACTCAGTATCATATTTGTTGCCCGAGCTTCAGTCAACAATCCACGTTATCTTTGTGCTGCCACATCGTAAACATTGCACAGGACGCCCTATCAACATAAATAACCATTGCCATTGCGCGTTTCGATTTAACAATGAACAAATTACGCTCTGGAGTGAAATAGACGAAGCCGTTTGTATATCTCTGTGAAGAATAAAGACTGCTTAAAACTGTATACATATTGTGTTACGTTCCCCGTGCGATGTTGGGGGAAAGTTTTGGTTAACAAGTTGGATCTTATTGTTTGTTGGGACATATTGCGAATGTGTATTGAAGCTTTCATCGCTATTCACGGGCGCACTGCTATGCGCCACGACCTGGTGCATTTTATAAGACATACTTCATCTGACCACTACTGCGAAGGAACACTTTAGCTACTCAGGCGGGTAAGCATATGTAAATTAGATATAGACGCATTTGTATTATAAAAAAACAAATGTTCCAGAACATTATGGAGAAATCCAATATGAGAGCTATCTATCGTCCACGCTGACCGAATGTTTAATGAGGTGAGTGATAAAAATAAAGATTATCATAGCATGCCGGTCATTTGTAAAACGAATGGAACGTGGTTGAAAATTAGCAGAATTGATAAGACTAGCTGCTATCCAACGACAATGATTTATTTGGTAGGTATACCACCTTAATTTCAATTTATCGGTAAATTTCCACATATATGTATGTATGTATATTATATATTGTACCTGACTAAAGCAATTAAATATCCATGAAATAAACAATCGCACAATTACAACAGCTCTAGGTCTTTATAGGATTGTCAACTTTGACTTTTTGAAAGTCTGATATTTAAATCAGGGTTCTAAATGTGTACTCCACAAAGTCTCACACAAAGGCTCGTTATTATTTACCTTCAACGAGGATGTAAATATCTCTCCGGCTTTTTATTTTAATTACTTATGACGTTTAAAAGTTGTTTGGAATCTAGTTTTAACTGGTTTTTCAAGCCGATAGCTTTTTTATAAGACTACCTACGTACTGGTAGGAGAGAGTAACTTGTTGCATACAGAACGAGCACTGAATGAATTGTATACCTCAATCGGACGAAAAAGATAACATAGACATTTTTAGCCCTTTTGTCAGCAGTTCTAATTTATGTGGGTAGATAAAAAAAGTTATGAAACAATGGCAGGCACAGGATGGAAGCATTTGTTTTCAATAACAAAATATTTAAATAAGTGAACATGGATGGAAACTAGAAATAGATGAATTCATTATTGAATATAGAAAACGTTACACCTATTAAATATGATAAAATATCCTCACGATTCTGTAATAACCATAATATACAAGATATGCAAAACAGCAAATAGTGGGAGAGGCCGAAGGCAGCGTAGAATTTCAACATATTGTTCAATGGCTCCTAGGAGTGTCATTTGAGCACCATTTACTTTACCAATACCGCGTTGAGTGGAAAGTTATTTTATACCGACTGGTAACTATAATAAGTTTTCCCCTACTACATTTGAGTTCTGTGTCAGCTTCATGAGTAGCGTAGAGCTAAAAGCTTGAGCATAGTACGTGAAAGTTCTTAAAAGAAAATTTGACTTTGAGTATTTTTCTACTGTGCTAAAATTCATAAAAATGGTTCAAAAAGATAGGAGGTTATACGTCGATCTCAGTCATGTGCATATATGAACAAACAAATATATAATATGAACACAAGAATGAAGTTTGTTCTTGGTTGCAAAAATATGATCCACAAATGGCCGCCACTTGGGTTACCAATTTGATATAATCAGATATTATGTGTTAATGTAATTTCATCCTCATGTTTATGTATGTATCTTATTTCGTCAGCTCACACCATGACCATAGCCAAGAGTAGATATTGTTAATGACGTAATGGTAAACAATAAACATATAAGTATTGATCATATAACGTGAAATTTGAGATGATTAAGTTATAGAAAGGTATTTATCTACCTGATAAAAATGGACGCCTCGACATGAAGTTACAATATTTATACTACTTTTTGAGAAAATTTCAAACTCAAAACTATTATATCTCATAGATCAAATTCAAAATTGCTACATTTACATCGAAATGAGTATATCTTTCATTCGATGTTTCAAAATGTGAGTATTTACATATACCCTTTTAAAAGCATAAAAAGTAACATAATCTATTTTACATTATAATAAAAAATTAACATTATTATTAGAGAATTGAAAGAAAAGCTCACAAAGGTGACGCTGCAAAGTAACTCTTTTGAGGTAAAATTTCTTTGTATAACTGGTTATTTAAAACCACTAAGAAGACGTGTGTATTTAACAACGAGACAGATGAAGTTTGAATAAAATTACAATAGGCTTGAGAATGTTTCTATTACCACAAAAGATGTTTAGAATTAATTGAATATATTATATACGTATGTAGTATCCGCATTGCTTTGTGAACAAGGAAAGGCAGTAAATGAGTTAATATCAATGAATAATACAACGTTTTACCTGTATATTGGCCATCCATTCAAGCAAATTTAATTTAAAATACAATTCATGTTAAAGTAGGTTACGGTTAAGTTATTGGTTGTCGGCTGTCGCTGATGAGCGACTTAATAGCGTCGATCAAGCGAAGTGGTCAATAAAAATAGATAAGCAAAACAAAGTTTATTTTGAACCCTTTTTCCGTCAGTAAAAAACTAAAATGTTCTTTTCTTAAATTTCCTTTTATCCTTTCCGTTGTCTATACTATATAATATTATAAAGAGGTAAAGTTCGTGAGATTGTGAGTTTGTGACGTTGTAGGGGGTAATCTCTGGATCTATTGAACCAATGTAGATGAAATTTGGTAAAAAGATAGTTTGAGACCCTAGGAGGGACATAGAATACTTTTTATACCGGAAGTCATCCCTTAAGGGGGCGAAAATGGGGATGAAAGTTTGTATGGAGAAGCAAGCTAGTTTTTAAATATATGTATATTGATAGTTATGTCTAAAAGAATCCTGGAACTCATAGAGTATTTCATCAAGAAAAGAATGAGTATATATTCATTTATTTTTTGAGTTGGACACATTTTTTTAAATGGGTACTTACTTGTTACCAACTATCATATATCGTCTATATTGAAAACGATAAATTATGACTAGTTTTAATAAATGGCAAAAATAATATGATGTACACACATTGCCGTAGATAAAATTATCATTTCTCTTTTACGACTTAGTAAATCAAAGAAAAAAAACTTCAAAAATTACAGTAATATATCTTAACGTTTCAAAACAGCTTCGATTATAGTACGAATGGTACCCTGCGTCTTGGTTATATTAATCAGACCTTAGTCACCAAGTGGAATTGATTCAGTTCGCCAAACAAAACAAATCAATCTACATGTTGACGTGGAGATACCATCACCAGACCGATACAAGCTGAAATGATGCACACTTGTATAAGTATCAAATATATGACGTCTATTACCTAGAAACACTGCTTTTTAGGTATTTTATTTGGTATTAGGTACTCTAAAAATTCAAACGCAAAATAGATTTTTAGTAATACGAGATAAAGAAAAGCTTCAATTTAAATATTATATATGTAAAAGTTTGTGTTTTACTTTTAGCATGCCTGTTTCCCACATATAAATTTGCACGTACAACGGACCAGAAGAGAGTCTAAGTGCGGAAAACGAGTCCACTTTACTCCCACATATAAACCATAAAACGTATTTGGATGAAACTTTGCATGCATATAAATTTATTTTAGACTAGCACATACTAATTTTTATCATAGAAAATATTTTTATACGGCCGTAATTGCGAACTCTGACTAGGAATCTGTTAGAGAAGTTACGCTATGGCTATTTGACAATGTCTCAAACCAGAGATTAAAATGTAAATAGGCGAGGTATTTTGGGACATTGACATTATTCAAATTGTTTAAAATTAGTTGTGTTTCGCACAAACCAGTTCTTATACTAGGCAAGATTGTCAGTTACTATCTCTTAGTGAACTTCAAGGTTTGCTTTACAAAATTATAAATGCGTTTGTATCCGACAAAAGGTTGCTTAATCTATACTAATAGGTATTATAAAGAGGTTAAGTTTGTGAATTGTGAATTTGTGCAATCAACCTAGGAATGAACCCGAGCAAAGCGACGGTGAGCCGCTATTAGTGTTATAAAAAGTTGTTTATTGTATAGTGATCTTGTACTGAGGTCTTGCACTTGGAAGTAGATCCAAAGACTATAGCGCTTGGAGACTCGTTCAAAAAAACAAACAAAACTCTTCAGCTTTATATATTAGTATAGATAATAAACCCATTAAGATGTTATTGCCCATTCCCATTTTCACCTCCTTAAGGAAACCTCTAAGAAAGTATTATCCTTAAGGGTTGATTTCCGGGATAGAAACTATCCTATGTCCGTCTCAGAGTTTCAAACTATCTTACCAAACATCTACATCGGTTCTGTAGATCCAGAGGTTACCCCCTACAACCTCACAAACTCACAAACTTTACCTCTTTATAATTTTAGTACCTATAGCTAAATTAGAGGTACTTATATATAAAATGCAATAAATATTCCAAATATTAGTGTATGTGTTTAATATTTGCACTAAAACGGAATATTTTTCATGAGATTTGCGTCGTTTGTTAGACGCTGTCATTTTTCCCTAATTTAGGATTGTTAAATTCAAAAGTGGTAATTAGAATATTGCATGAATACTTTCTTAGATTTACGCGAATATTTGACATTTTAAATAAAACTATCTTTTCGGATTTTGTCGCGGATTTAATTGCATTTTTGTTTCCCTTTGCATTTTTCTGTCAATAGTTGCACTTGGGTTATGTTTTGTTTTTCTGGCTATTTTAAAATTGAACAATATTTATATAAGTATTGTTTATTTTTTATAATTATTTTATTTTTTATAATAAAATGCTTATAACTCTGTTGGTACTTTTACGCACATGGCTGTTTTTTTGCATAACTGGGTCCAATTATGTAATAGTTTTTGTATTATTACTCGTAAAACTAAGATAACAAGTCTCCGATTAGATGTTATATATGGATAAAGATCGAAGATTCAAATATTCCTTCGAATTAACATTATTTCTAAGTATAATGAGCTTATTCTATTAAACCTACTTACTACGTCAATATTATGGACCAAGGTCTTACAAGTATATTTTATTGATATAAAATGTATTTAGAGTTAGGACATCGTTTACTTTTATGGGCTTTAGAAACCATTTAAAGACTTAAATGATAATTTTGAATTTGAATTGGTTTTATAAGTAAAAATATACTTTATTTATAAATTATACTCTAGTAACGACTCAACCTCGTTTCGCTTCGGTTGAAAAACGAAAACAAATCTATCCCATGGGAACCGTACATTTTTCCGGGATAATATGTAACCTATAAGCTATTCCAGACTATAATCTGTCTCTGTGCCAAATTTCATCCAGATGCGTTCAGCTGTTCTGGCGTGATTTAGTAACAAACATCCATCCAAACTTTCGCATATTTTATAATTTTATATACCTAATAATGGGATGGGCTTACTACCTAAGAACCTATTATTTAAGAAAGTAACAAGTTTATTTGCAAAAAAGAGTGTTTTATATATTACATATTATTTTAAAAGCCTATGTATAATGTTGATAATGTTCTTTAGATCAGCTTATTAGTTGTGCGGCGTTTACTCATGTTCTAAGAGTTTGTCAAACCACTCTTACTCGCCCATTATCACAAACGACCATCGTGGACCAACCAATAGGATTGATAAGGCCAGCCAAAAAATCCAGTAAATCAATTAGCTTTTAATTTTTAAGACTTAAAATACACAAACTTGACGACACGTTTGGCTCAGTTTGTAGTGACCCTACTTATTGTACCAGCGGCCGCGGGTTCGAGTCCCGCTGGGGTCATTTATTTGGGTGATGAGCATGAATGTTTGTACTCCAGTCATGGGTGTTTATTATATTTATAATATGTATGTATTTAAAGTTATATATGTGTAGTGTATCAACTATCTGGTATCCATAACACAAGCCTCGTACCATACCATTTAACTAGATGGTGCTGTGTATGAATGTCCCAACATATTTTTTTTTTATATATCTTTGTCTCAGTCAGATGTTGAAAGACCTCGATGATGTTCCAAAAACATACACCATTTTATCCTTACACGTAGCTAAGTATAATTTAATATTAAATATTACTATGATTATTGAATGTAGCAGAGCAAGGGCTGCAGATATAAATAAAATACGTATAAGTACATTAGAAATCAATGAACACTTAATGATATTGTAATGATAATATTTATATTTTCGAAGTTATTGCCGAAAAAAAACCGATGTATAATAAATAACGCTAAAATGTGTTAGTAATGGTTTCATTATGATTTAAAAAAAAAAGTGGGTAAACTCTGGAATGGTGAAGCAAATGTTCATTCCCTAGTGGGATCTAGTGATTCATTTTTTTTTTTGTAGAAAATTCAATTTTGCATATTACTGAAGAGAATTTTCATTTGTTTCCAGGTCGCTATTGATGGCGTTACTGAACATTCGCAGTGATTGGTATTTGTATATTTGGCTTATATATCGCAAAATCTATTCAGTTATTATTTGGTTGGTTGGCAATCATTGCCAAAGTGATAAGGGTCGGTCGGTGATAAGCGCCGGAGTGAGCCAGTCGTCTGGAAGCCTCCACAGAGTGCGCACGCGTCGCAGGAAACCACTGCAGCATCGCAAACACGTCGTGGCATTAGTGAGGAGATCTTCATTGAGAAGAATAGTAATGGCACCTGGAGCTACTGCACACGCCATGATGGAGGATAAGGAAAAAATCCTTGCCAATGGTAAGTCCACTTTATATTATCCATTTTCGGAACTTGGCAAGTCAATAAGGAAACTTGTGAAAACGTTTCAGAGAAAGCTTCGTAACGTTATTGACACAGTTTCAATTTTCACGATTGTTTTGGCCAATATCTCGTTTGTTTTTGTCGATTTTTACCGAAAACAGTAATATAATATGGGCAAAGTTGCTTTAAGACAAATTTTGTTCAATTATGTATTATAAATTATTATTAATTGTACATTCGACTACATATGCATATGTGGCTTTGGAAATAATTTCAGTTTTTACTTTATAATTTTGCTAATTATAAATCAACTAGCGGACCCGACAGACGTTGTCCTGTCTACACGTCTTTAATTTGAAAATTTCAAACTTTTTTTAATAATTTTTTTGATGAAAATTATTATTCAAATTGTGAATCTAAACCATTCCCAGATCCCCTTGAACACACACAAAAAATTTCATCAAAATCGGTCCAGTCGTTTGAGAGAAGTTCAGTGACATACACACTCACAGAAGAATTATATATATAAAGATTATTGTTATGAATTTAGTCATTATTTAAGACCCGTAATACGAATTGGTATCGTAAGTCGCAATCCAATAATATTTGTATTCGTAGGTTGGTATTTGCTTCCGCATCATTTACTTCACAGCATTACCCTCACTAAGGTTGATATCAATAAGTATCAATCTTGAAGTTTATTTATAAAAGCGCGTAATCATTATCTTTGTACAGAAGGCTTCAGAGTTGCTTTGTATGATTCTTTAGGGATTGCAAACAAAGAACAACTTTTGATTAACCTGATCACTTTATAAAAATATATTGTAATGCACCTATAAACAAAAATATTGTAGCTTTGATAAAGTAAATATTACCAGGAATAAGAAGAAATAATGTGTATTTTGGTAAATGGTAAATAACACGTGTAGGTCAGTTTGCTCATAGCAAAGCTTAGTATAGAATTAAATTTCTCTTGAAGAAATAGTTGGCAATATATCAGTATTTATCATTGCAAATTTCCCATTAATCGTGTCAAGGAATACCTTAATGGTGACCATATTTATTTATTGTCTGTTATATTAATGTATGATATAACTAAGTGCTACCGTAATGTACCAAATATTATTATTTTGCGTGTGAAAAATCGACATATTCTTCTATTCTATAAAGTAAACTTGAAATATTTAAAACACCTATAAGTTTAAAAATGAATATTAATTATTATAAAAAAAACTATCTATCACGTTTTACAGTGATTTAAAATTCAGGGTTACGTTATGCGGAAAACATTAAAAAATAATTCTAATAGAGACTTACTCGTAAAACTCTTTTGTTGATATAAAAAGAATTATTAAACGAAACTTAGAAATTAAATTAATAATTGTGTCCTTACCTTCAGAATTAGAAATAAATTAATTATTTAAAAAAAATATAGTAGTAAAAACTTTTACGAGGCTTCGAGAAGATGGCATTCTGCAATCGTTGACAAATGAAAATCTAAAAATAATTTTGCACGACAATAAAAGAATATATATTCTTTTCTTTTTTTAAGTGTCGTTAACGTTTAAGGATACATTTTAAATTGTAGAAATCTGAGTCGAATCTGTACATTAAATATTTTTTGGAAAATCTTATTGAAATAATCATTATTATCGAGATTGTACAGAGGCCGAATCTATAGTTTTTAGAATTTCTGTCTGTCTGGGAACGCATCATGAGAAAACTACTGGAAAGATTTTGATGAAATTTGGTATGATGATAGCTGGTTATCCGCGTCAACATATAGGATACTTTATACTGCGGGAAAACATCTCATCTCTGAGAAATCTGTACTAACCGTTAAGAATTCAATTTAAATTAAAAGTAAATATTTATTGATTTTGGTAATATTAATACGATGAAGATATATTTATTACAACGATATTTTACTGGAAAAATAAAAATAAACATTTTTTTATTTTTATAGTAAAATATCGTTATAGAGAAGTTATTTTTATAGAAGTTTTAAACTTGAATATTTTATTGTACTCATTACTTACGTAATGTGCTTTCCCGGCATGAGCAATCGTAAAGTTTGTTTGTATATTAGTATAAAGGAAAATGCTATACTTATATTTTTGCTGCATCATGGTCTTTAGTCATAAAATTATATAGACAGTTTAGTTTCTAAATTAATTTTTAACATCGTTCATGTATGCTAAAAATAAGCTCACCGAGAAATAGTTCACTGTCTTGTCTAATTATATATTATTTATAGAACTTATTTATAAATTATATAATAAGGCAGTGGTAGCCCAGTGGTGACTCGCTCGCTTGGGTAACCGAGTGAAGCGGGTTCGAATCCCGGGTCTCGCACCTCTGATATTTTCATGTGCGAATCATTTTCAACATGATTACCACTTGCCTTACGGTGAAGGAAAAACATCGTGAGGAAACCTGCATGTCTGAGAGAACCTAGCAAGTTTTCGAAAGACATGTGAAGTCTGCCAACCCGCACTTGGCCAGCGTGGTGGACTATGGCCTGATCCCCCTCGTATTGAAGGAAGGCCCGTGCTCAGCAGTGGGACGTTAAGGAGGGCTGAATACATACATTTATAAATTAAACGAAAGTTTTACTGCAGCATTTGTAATGCTTATGACTTAATTAAACAAACCTGAAGAATAAAAAAAATACAATTAGCCATTAAAGACTTTCCAACGCCAAGTGGTGTCTTCATCACCAGATCAGCTTAGTTCAAATTATGAAATCCAAACAACAAAACAATAATTAATAGCACATAAATATTTTTGTCGTTTGGATTTCATATATTTTTGAAACCGTAACTCGATACGACGCGACGGTTAGATTTAATCAATTTTCAAGATTTGTGTAGGTTGTCATGTACATTGTTTCAGTTGCAAGTTGAAGCTAATAAATCGTATCAAATTACTAAAAAAAATATAACATATTGAAATTCTGTAAATAACTTATTTATTAAAAAATAATGATGTATGAAAATCGATTGATTAATTATTATTAATGCGGATATCGCAGTACATATGCACTCAAAAATATAATATAACACACGGATTGAGTACCTCCTCTTTTTTTAAATCGATCCAGAATCGCGATCCGTTTTCCTGACAAAAAGGACAAACTAACAAACTCGTTTTTGCTTTTATAATCTTGGTAAACACGACGTAAATAAACAGTAAAAGTTAAAAAATACGAATAAACGTGTTAAAAATTATTAAATAACTCAAAAACTGTTAAGAATTGTTTAGGCATATTAATTCGCATGTACAATAATAACATCGAGTGGCATAGCTCAATTGATCTCGATGAGGAGACGAATCGAGTTCATCTACAGGGCATAGTCATAACGCGCGGCCGATGACGTCTGACAGTCACGCCCCCAGCCACAAGGCCACTTAAACCGTGGTTATCTCTACGTTGGCATTTTGTATACTTCGATCAGTAATATAACGTAATTTTGTTATTTCACGTACTTATAACAATTGCCATGTCATTAGTATGGAGGATGTAATCTATTAAAGATAAAACTGTTTTTTTTTGATAAGTAGTATTACTCGTAAGTTGTTTATATCAAAAGTGTAAAATGTTAATAAAACTTTATGAAGCCTTACACAAAATTAATAAATACTTGTGTGTAACTTGTCTCTAATACTGTCCGATTTTAGTGTCTCTACCTCAATTTAGCAGATTTTTTTAAATTAAAGCTTAATCCATTTTTTAGCCACTTATCAAGAGTCAAAGACGATCAATCGACTCTTTTAAACTATAACTATTGTTCACTAAAGTTTCCTTCATAAGTGCCAAATGAAATAGAATTCAATTCTGTTGGGCTAACTTCACATTCGTTAAAGTGACCAATGACCTTTTGATTAAGCCACTTCATAGGTGTTAAATAAAAATACAAACCCTGCATCGACCTCACTCAAGCTCTCGTGACATATATCTACGTTAAAAAATAACAATATTTAACACTTCGTAACATAAGAATATAAAGAAACTTTCTAGGTCACAGTTAAAACCACTAGTTTTAGAAGCATAATAGAAGCAAGACCTAGGAGCGATCTGTCACCGAGTTAATGAGTGAACGAATTTACGATTTTTATTAGGTATTTTTGTTAGTAACTATGTACATTCGATACTAATGAGTTAGTAGGTCAAATTTTTAATAAATTGCTGTATATTAAGTATATTACGTATAATTTGCACAACAGTTTTAGTCTAAGGTCATCCTTGCATCGCCTTCTCATAATATATAAGTATGAATAAGTTATAGATCGGTTGATAGCAGAAAAAAGAATTTATTTGTGTATACATATATAAAAATCGATTTGTGTTTGTATGTCCCCCATGGACTCCAAAACGGCTGGAGCGTTATTGAAAAAAAAATCAGGCAATCTTGAGACTAGCCCAGCGGTTGCTCCTGTGAAGTTTGGTAGCGATCGGATCAACAAAAAGGTTTATTGTCATTTGAATGAGGGCAAACCGTGGACAATGCTAGAAGACTTTTAAAATTAGTGTTTGACATTGTATTTTGTATTGACAACACCTTATTTAATTATACTTCTAAATCACCATTTAATCATGCATTCAAAAAGGCTTTGCACCGACTTTAGATCCATGTCGTATATATTGATTATATTCATATCTTAATATCAAAATATTAGTACACATATTAGGGTATGGAATATAACGTCAATAATAATAATAATTTATTGTTGTTTACAATCGTATCCCCTGCGAATTTATCACTAGGTGGGTGTGTTGGTGTTGCTAAGTACGGTATCAAATAATACTCGTACAATAAATATTGCTGTTATCATTGTTTTCCAATGACTAAAATTATTTATATTACTTTAATTATCTCATACATACCTAAAATAATAATATTGTTGGTGGCCTTAAAGCCACATAGAAGTAATTCAACTAAATCTTAATTTTTCTAAATGTTGCTATATTTAAAAATTACAAATAAAAATAAGAG